TGAATTGTCTGTGCAGTCAGATCAGTTACTTGATTTCACTCGCTGTGGTAGCAGTTCCAGTGAAATGGAGTAAAGATCAATATTTGGCTCATAGGATTTGCAATTTGTCTGTGACAGTGTGGTTAGAGAAACTTCATCCCTGTTTGAATTTATCCTACAAGACTGCTGTAAAAGAACCACAAGTAACAGTTTGCCCCTAAATATGCTGGTGATCAAACTAGGTTTTGGTTATATTTGTTCCACATGGTTTCCAAGTTTGAGTAACCAAGTAAAGAAGATTCAGAGGAGACAGTGACAGTCTCCTGGATGTGTGCAGTAGACAGTGACCCCTCGATGGATCATTAGTTCTCATAACTTTGCAACATGATGTAAAGCAACAGATCCTTTAGGTCTTGTAAATTCTGAGGTGGGTCCTCTTTGGATCGGACTTATTTGTCCAGCACATTCCACAGATGCTCGATTAGACTGAGACATGGGGGCAAGAGGGCGCAGCCATCAGGGAATACTGTTTCCATGAAAGGGTGTACAACTAACACCTCTTTTTTTTTTGTTTTAAACGACTGCAGCATTGAAATTATGATTTATTTATTTTTTAACTCTTAGTTGTCCTGGGTTGTATGGCAGTATTTGACTCTAGGTTTCCACTATTAACAGCACACCCAAGAATAATGGATTATTTAATGCTGATGTTCTTTTTATAGCCTCTGGGTGTGTCATGTGCCTCTAGCCAGAAAAGTTTCCCTGGTTTACTAGTGTTTGTCTATCAGCGAATGAGTCCCTTGTGTGTTTCACAGGAGTGAGTTAGTAGAGAAGAGTGCCATGCTGCGCACTAAAGCCATGAGGGAGAAAGAGGAACAGAGGGAGAGGAGGAAATACAACTACACCCTGCTCAGGGTGAGACTACCTGATGGGAACCTGCTACAAGGTGAAGCCACAATTTAAAATGTACTTCAAGATTAAATCAATTGAGTAAACCAAAAGCATTTTACTCTGAAAAATCCTACACATTGTAGTTTTGTGGGCATTGTTGACACAACTGCTCATGATTTGTGACCCTCTCAGGAACATTTTATGCCTGGGACCGGATGCCTGTGCTGTTTTCCTTCATGCGGGAGTCTCTGGTGGACGGTTGGCAGCCCTTTGAACTGATTGCTCCTGGAGGTCAAAAACTACAAGAATCTGAAGACATTGCTCTCGCAGAGTGCAACTTGGTGGGTTGAAATCAGAATCTACTTGGCAAACTGGCCTGTGGATTAATTTTTTTGTCAGTCCCATTGTTGCCCTAACATGTAACACTGTATTTAGTATTTCTTTCTGATGAATGTGGGCACTGGGAGAATGAAAACAAACTTCAATGTTAAAACCCACAGCACAGAGCAGGGGTTTTAATTCAGGTTTTAGTTTGTGGCAAATTTTTAGAACAGAGAGTGAATGTTTGAGGTCGTTTTTAGTCAGGTAATATTGATGTTGAGGTAAAGTGTCACATTTACATTTGAACTACTAATTTTCTCCCTTTTAAACGAAAAATAATCTGTATTGTACTGACTTCCCTTATATTTTAGGTCCCTGCTGCGCTGCTCACGTTTGCCTGGGATGCAGCTGTGCAGGCTGATATTGCAGCTGCAGGTGGAAAGAGCCCCACTCTCCTCAAACCGGAACTGCTGGAAAACATTCGGAGCCTGAGCTGAGCAAGAGTACTCTCTCCCGAACCCTCCCCTCTACCTTCCTCTTTCCTCTCACACTACTGGGGTGAATTCGGCCCTTTACTAGTGACACATTTATTTTTGCAAACTCTAACCTAAGTCGGTAGCAGTGATAGATTAGGGGCAATGTTACCCTAATATATTTGTTGGGCTGAGCATAATCTCCCCATGGGGATGAGGTCACAACACAGCCTGCTTCAGCAGGACATGTTGAAGGAAGCACTGCTGACAGATGGAAGGAGAAAGCAAGAGCACATGCTTGTTTTGGGGGGTTTTGCATCCTGATTGTACATGCTGTGTAGTAAACAGACTCTGCAGCTGCAGTCTTTCCTGTTCTACCCAAGTCAGTCAGGTAGAGTTTTCAAAGCATGTTGAGACCCTGTTTTAACTGTGTCACCACTCCCTCCCCTTTAGAAAAAAATAAATGGCAAAGACCGTTCAAGATACAGTTGTTGAATCACGTTAAGTATCTCAGCTCCTTCAGCGGCTCCTGTGATTTTTTTTTTTTTTTTTTTTTGTAAGGCTGCTGGGTGTCAATGCACTGGCTTTACTTCAGACTTGAAATGCTCTGTGCTTTGTTTGGCGGTGTTCGAGATTAGCTCAGTGTAGTCTGTTAACTGATTTGATGTGATACGAGTCTGGCTTTATTGCTGAAAACATACATAAGCTTCTGTTGCCCTTTTGTCCTCTGCTCCGGAGCGGCCTTGGGCTCCTTGGTGTTACAACACAGACTGTCTTTTGTTGTTGCTTCAGTATGAGCATGAGCCTAAATCAGAATTCATAAATCAAAATTTTTATTTTGGATAATTTTGAAATTTATGTTGAGACAAAACAGAGGGGTAACTTAAAAATAATTAAAAGATGAGGCCCATATATATATATAGTTTTATAATTGTGTCAGCCATGTGGTGACAATGTGAAGGCAATTCTAGTACTGGAATCAACTATTTTGTAAGTTTGTAACAATGAAGGATATTTTGGGGAGTAGGGAGGGGCCTAAACACCTCTACTATTACATTGTTCACACTTAAATGATTAATGTTTGAATTTTATGTTGAAGCTTTGTGTAACCAACTCCACCCTGGCATGGAGATAGCCAAATTTCTGGCAGCATGGATTTCTGTTGTATTGAAAATGGTGGTTAATTATTTTTTGTATTTGTTTGCATCAAACACTTATTTTTCTCCACATAAAAACGCATGAAAACGCCTCAAAACACCAACTGTCCGAACTGAATCCAGTGACAACTCAAGTTGCAAAAGAGACTGAAGTTTCAAAGTTTATTCAAGCTGCATACGTTTATTTTGTTTGTGGTTTTGCTGTACATGAGCATTTACCAAGTAGAACTTTAAAACCTAATTACTTTCTCCTTGTAGTGGTTGGTTAAATGACAACAGCCTACCTCTTACCATTTCCATGCATCACAAGGGAAATGTACACAATTATGTAACATCAGTCTAAGGTTAGGGGTTACTGTCTTTTCCCCTCTTATGTTGCTAATAATGGTCAGTTGCACACTGAACACACAAATTAGAACTGGGTGATGGGGAAACAAACTGATGTCCACTATTTCATTCACAGCCCAGGTTGAATCAGCCAAAAGAAACCTTTCTGCAGTCTAACGCTTGTCCACAGGTATTGCATAAAAGGGATGTAGATCTTTCATTAGCACCATAACAGTATGAAATAATTAAGTGAGCAGTTGTGATCTGTCCAGATGTTTCCTTCCGAGTGGTGTTCTGTTGCTTTTTAAGCTGCCTGTAATAACGATCGCTTGCAAAGCCTCTTAACTTTTAACAAACAGAAGTCTGTTTAAAAAAAATAAATAAAAGTTGTCTTTGGAATAAGAAATGTTTTCTATTCCTGTGTTGGACATGTATTTATTTGCAAAGCCTTCATAATATGTGCAACATCTTGATGTGCTGATACCTTAAATGTGAAATTAGTTTAGCAGCCAGCCATTTACTGCTCTCAGATTTGGACCCTTTAAAGTCAAGTGTATGATATTTAATGCATTATTGCAGATTATTTTCCCTATGAAAAAAAAAATTAAATTGCAAAAAGAAAAGAACCGGTTATAACAAATATGATACAACTTAAAATTCATATATGCAGACAGTTCAATAATCACTCCATTTTCATAAAATTATAATTTTCTGGCAATTATTTTATGGTTCTGGCTTTAAAGGGTTAATTGGATGAAATACAAAGTGTCTTTAACCAGACTACATCATCTTTTAATGGATGTGTTGGTGGGAGTTTCCCTCCTCTCAACTGGTAAACCATGTTAGTGCCCCAGTTTTGTTTTTTTAACTAAATAACAGCAAAATAAGTCAAAAACAGGTTACCATCTTTAAACCAAATTAGAGCTGCTAATACTCCTCAGCCCCCCTAGCCAGCTGTAACCAGGTAGATGGTTTCCTCTCCCTGAGACTGCTTTTGGGGTCTCTTCCAGTTAAAACTGAGTTTTTCCCTCCCACTGTCACCAAGTGCTGTCTGTGTGGCTTAGTCTGATTGGTGTTCTATCCCTTATCATATACATTCAAATTGGCTAAGGTGAACTGCAGTATCAGTATTCAGATGTTGCTCTAAGTAGTTTAGAAACAGCTGCTTTACGTGATTTTTCAGCACAAACATCTGTACCGTGTACCAAGAATGATCTGAAAAAGAAAATATCCAGTGCGCAGCAAATGTGTTGATGTGATGTCAGAGAATGGCCTGATTGTTCAAATAGCGACTCGTTACAACCAAGATATGCGCAAGAGCATTTCTGAATACACGTCTAACCTTGAAGCAGATGGCTCTCTGGGTATAACTCAAGTCAGCTAACAACAGAACTGATGCTACAGTTCGCACACCAAAATGATCAGAAGATTGGAAAAAACTGTTGCCTGGTCTGATGAGTGAATTTCTGGTGCAACATTCAGAGGGTAGAGTCAGAATTTGGCGTAAACATCAATATTACTCCTGACTATGTTTATTCCTTTGTGACAACAGTGTATAACAGTGATGACTGTTTCCAGCAGGATAAAGCCACGTGAGCCTAAATCACCTGGCATTGGTTTCTTAAACATGACAGTTTACTGATGTTGTGTAACAAAAGATTTAGGTAACACATGTGCATCATTAATATATTACTTATCAACTGTCAAACTTAATTGCCCATTGTGGGACAAATATTTTCTGAATTTAGTTCCATGTAACAACTCAGCTGCCAGTTTTTTTTTACAGAACTCTACTAATAGAATAACAAAACATCCCAAAGAGACAAGAAATAAACTGTATATAAAAGTGCAGTACTTTTATTCATGTTTAATGGATTTATCCTGTTCAAGTATTCTTGAAAAATAAAGAAAATACATATTTATAAAACACTGTGGCACTGAACCTAACTGTACAAGTACAGATCTAGCAACTACTCCAGTGAGTTTGTCAGGTTTAGAAGTTGCAGAATAAATGAACCCATGGAAATCAGAAGAAAATGTACAGATGGACTTTAAGCTTCTCATTTTGGTAACCTATATACATTAGAAAATATCACATCCACAACTTGATGAATTGAACATTTCAAAAACCGTAAATAATGTTCTCGATGTCTTGGATGCTTCTCGTGGAGGGGAAGAAAAAAAAAAAAAAAGAAAAAGGCCATTTGTGTTCTGCTTTTCTCCCTGTTTAACCCAAATCTGCAGCAGCAGCTAAAGCAGTGCCGGAGAAATTCACCTTCCCCTCTATGGGCCCACGTTAAACACAAATATCAGATATAATCAATGAATACTGGAATACTGGTCAAGCCTGTCCTTATTCAAACCAGTCACCAATATTAGGGATAGCTGCTATCGGCCCGATGGCTGCTGACTGAACTGAATTAGTTGAGAGGGAACTCAATCCTGAGCAGAGTTTACCTGCTACGAGTTACCCGTATCTTAGGTGCTTCATCTTACTTGAAGACTTGATTCTGTCTGGCACACCGTGGAGTTCAGATCCAGCAAGCAGGAATTTCTAGGCAGAAAAGGGGTAGTCTGACTGGGTGAAGACTGCCTGTCCTGCACTCAGACAGTGTCGAGGGCAGACGCAGAGCTTGCAGTGGGGAGAGCAGCAGTGTCAGAGGGGGTTGTTTCCATTGTACCATCTCCCTCACTGGATGTCTGTTTTGTAGGGCCTGAAGAAAAAAAAAAAAAAAAGTACAAATGTAATAAGATTTAATTTAGGTGTCTAAAATGTATACATACACTTTAAAACTGAATAATATATATAGGAAACTGTAATAAACAGCTTAGGTTAAATGCTTGGCTCAAAGTGGCTCTATTGTGCTATTATTTTCTAGCTCCATAATTTTATTCTTTGACTCCACAGTAAGTTTCCATACTTGATAATTGAAAACAATCCCCATTTATGTTATACTGGGTCTTGGTGGTACCCCTCAGTTCACTCACTTTCAAACCTTTTCTGACATGCCCTACTTCAGAAGCTGAAATAAAAGTTCACTACACAGTTTTTAAATTCAATCACTACCATCAAAATCCAACTACAGACTACTGGAAAACTTCTTCTGATTGACTGCTACTCCAAAAAAGGTATGAACAGTAGATGACTATGTTAGGAGCCATTCTCATTGGCATTATACAGAATTAAGAGTAAAATGAGCATTTGCAGCAGTCTGAACTCTGAGCTTTTGCATCACAGGAATTACTCGTATATATGCTGGCCTCACTTGATTGTAGCCATGTTTAAAATGAACACTTTCACATCCATTTATTCACTATTATTTTCTTGTGATGTCGTTGAATCTTGGTTTAAACCTTAAAGTTGAAAATTACAGTTAAAAGGTAAAGTTTTACAAAAAAATAATCTTCCTATGCAGCTTACCACTTTGGGTAGAAATAATTACACAGTCATCTTCATCATCATCCTCAGTGTCAGCTTGAAAACCGTCAGCCTCCATTGCTTCCGTCTGGTAAACAGTAAAAAGCTGCAGTCAGTTTAAGAAAATCCTTTCACGTGTTTGGTAACATGATATTTAAAAGTGGTAATGTGAAGTGGATATTTCATTGTAGACCAGTCCTGCGAACAGGGCTTTAAAAAAAAAAAAAAAAAAAAAAAAAACCCTCTCATAATCCACCTTTACCTACCTGCTCAGGATCATTACATCTCTTCATAAACTTGGTGATTGACATGCTGCCTGTGCTCTTCCTTTTGTTAGAGGATGAAGGGGTGGTGGAGCAGCTCTGGGGAGTTGTGGGAGAGTTTCCCTGAGAGCCTGTGGCTGCCTGGGGTTCTTCACGGGGTTCTTCTCGAGCTCCCGTGGTGAGGTAGGTCCATTGGCAGGGCACTGGAAGAGCCTCCTGACCAAAACGGGACAGAACCTCTTGGTGCACATACCAGCAGCATCGCCTGTGGGCTGAACGCTTTTCATAAATAGCATTGTTCTTGATGAGGCGTCGCAGCTGCATCCTGATCAAAGCAGGAGGGAAAGGAAAAATCTCAAGACAATACAACTACACCATACAAACATAAACGTCCACACTGAATATTACATTTACTGTTCCCTAACCATTGCTTTACCTGCTGGGAATATTTTCTGCTGGGTTCTGAGGGCTGGACAGAACAGGAGGAGATGAGGAGGTGATCTCCTGGCGACAAAACTCCCGAAACTCATTGATGATCACTTTGCTACTGTTGAGATTGCCATGCAGAAGAGGCAGGAGCTTACCGAGTACTGTCCAAGACGAGAATATTAGGGAGTTATTCATTGTTATGTCATAAATACATACATTTATTAGAATTTAAATACATTTCACATAAAAATCAAAAGATTTATTTCCTTGAAGCCAACAGTGCTGTGCAATATTAGGCTAGCGTCGAACCATGACCCATTCCGCTGCCAAAATAAGTTGATCCAGAGTTTGCAAGACTTTATATAGACACTTTACACCTGTTTTACCATCCATCCATGAGAAGATAATTGATAACAGACGATTTTTCCTGCTTTTATTTTGAAGGCTTACTCTAGAAACTCTACTCTAAAAATTTTATTTTGTAAACATGCTGGTTACTGTATGGTCAGAATTTGAGATCTCAATTACAGAGGTGGGTAGTAATAAGTTACATTTACTCCGTTACATTAACTTGAATACGTTTTGGGGGGAAAAGTACTTTTAAAAGTACCTTTGTTACACCATACTTTTTACTTGAGTACATTTGTGAAGAAGAACTGCTACTTTTACTCCACTATATTTGGCAATACTTGACTTGTTACTTTTTTAAAAATAATTAATTTCTAGTCTAATAACATATCTAATAACATTAGATAATACTACTAATAATAATGGATCATGCCACCTGTAACTCTTTCACCAATCAGATGTAGCCATGCAGTCACATGACCAGATATAAAACACATTTTTAAAAAATGGCAGAGGTAGCTAGAACTGAAGAGGATGAACACCCTTGCCCTCATGTGCAAAGCATGTTTTGCGTAAAAGCAGTACAAAATAACAGCTGTATAACGCGGTGTCTTCAGTGTGAGCCAAAACAAACCGACATTTCAGCATAACAAGAACTCAACATCTAACCCGAGGAAGCATGCTAAATTTCGTTTTTTTTTTGTTTTTTTTTTAGCTGTGGTTAGGTGGATGTCATCCTTATGTTACAGCAGCTGTGTTGAGCTCAATTCCTCGGTGGTCAGTGTACTGCAACTTTTTGATGTGTCCATACTCCAACACACATGAATTAAACGGCTGAATTGCCACCTCAGCATGGAGTCAAGTACTATAGAGTCTTGCAAATGACATTTTATTCTGGTGTGTAGCGGCAAGGAGACGTTTAATAGTTTCAGGACACTGACCCTCGAGGACTGGAGCTTAACACCTGTGGGTTATAGGATCACAGTCTTGAGCCACATTAAAAATTAAATGATTTAAAAAATATATAAATAAATGATGCGCATTTCCAGAATCACTCCCTTTCTCTGCTAGAAACTACATTGGTAATTAAGCTGTTTTAATATTTTTCTTTTCTCATTAAGTGACTTTTTGTCCTGACTCCTTCAATGAACTTCAATTATGAGGTGTAGAAGTTTATAACTAAGAGGAAGGCTAAACATTTTTTTGAAGGAGACTATTTGCCAGCACTGCTTAGCCTTGCATAAGTTCTGATTTTGAATGTAATCTGGAATTCATCGCAAATTATTTGTTGGCTATGAATGACAAGATTTTGTTTTAGTAGTTGGTAAAAAACATCTCCAGTGTGATCAAATTTTCAAGGCAAACATCCTATACAGCACAATAATGCCCAGACCTAATTCTTTTGAAAACCATACATCTTTCCACAGGTCTCAACTTCATCAGACATCACCTAGACACAGAGTTGGATGAGGCCAGTACAAACAGTAGCCTATCCGATGAAGATGACTTCTTTGGATCCATGGGGTCAGGAACCCAGAAGCAGGGAAGCTGGAGATGTACCTTTCATGTATATTCATTAGAAATATGGATCTACTGCATAGCTTTCCTCACATCAAACTGTCATTCAAAGTCAATACAGCTCTTCCTGCATCTGGAGCCTGTGAGGGACTTTTTAGTCAGACAGGACTTCTGTTCACTGCTAAACAGTTACAGTTTCACAGCAAGAACCTTGAGAACTGCTGCTGAAGCTTAACGATCACTTCACTGAATGAAGAAATGGCACATTTCTTGCTAAATATGCAGATAGATACACACCCACACAATTTATGGTAAAGTGAGCCGCCTTTACTTGCTCCATAATTAATCACAAGAGGAGCAGGCAGCTCAGGCAGCTCTTCAATCGATCGTGGCTCAAGAGTTGGGCGTTCGCCTTGTAATCGGAAGGTTGCCGGTTTGAGCCCCGGCTTGGACAATGTGTAGGTCGTTGTGTCCTTGGGCAAGACACTTCACCCATTGCCTACTGGTGGTGGCCAGAGGGCCCGGTGGCGCCAGTGTCCGGCAGCCTCGCCCCTGGTAGTGCGCCCCAGGGTGGCTGTGGCTACAATGTAGCTTGCCATCACCAGTGTGTGAATGGGTGGATGACTGATTGTGTAAAGCCCTTTGGGGTCCATAGGGACTAGTAAAGCGCTATACAAATACAGGCCATTTACCATTCAAACTTTGCATGCAAGCAAAACATCTGACAGACACTTACATTTTTCTTCTCTCTGAGACTTCAGTGACATCTCCTCTGGGCTGGGACTGTTGTCTGCTTTGGGTAAAGGCTCCACCAAGCACACAACATATGACTGTAAAAGTTCAAAGCCAGGTGCTTCTCCCTCCCAGATGCAGCCCCTCACCATCGGCTCCAGGACCTTCATCTTCTTCTTGCTGGACATAAGCTCATCCCACTCCCTTGCTTTCAGTTTCTGACGGAGTTTCTGCTTTTCCAGGTCACCACCATCCTGGGAGGTTTATTGGGCATTATCAGTTGTGCGAACCGCCAAAAGAAACTTTGCCAAAGTATTTTGAAACTAGAAGAGTCAAACAATTCTTTCAGTAAGGTGACAGAGGGCACTAATACTGTAGTTCGACTCATACCTCTTCTTCCAGTGCCCCTTCATCTTCTGAAAGGTAGCCATGAGGAACAAAGAATCCATCATCGTCATCGTCATCATCTTCTCCTCCCTCTTCCTCATCTTCCTAAAAGTGATCAAGAGTTCACAGCTTTCTAACGAGTAAAATAATCACTGTCACAGTTATTACCAGCCACAAAGCATAACCGGTATTGTTTTCACCTTGTAAAAAGAAACGTGCATAGCTGTCATTTCATATAATCATGGCATGGCTGAAGATGCATACTGTAACGTCAACTATAATTTAAGATGGATTTGAATACTTTTCCATACTCATCAACCCCTACCAATGGATAAACAAACATTAAAAAGCATATGACTGAGTTTAAAATCATTAGGTGTGGTCCAAGTGCTCACAGTCAACATTTTATTGTGTCATGGTTGAACAATCACATCACAAGATGGTCTTTTTTTTAGTTCACTTCACACACACACACACACACACACACACACACACACACACACACACACACACACACACACACACACACACACACACCCCCCCCAATGGTCGTTTTCACACCAGGACTTTGGGACAACAATCTGTGATTTCTATATAAATCATGAGTGATTGAAACGGGTTTCAATGATTTCAAAGAGAATAAAAAAACAAATGTGGGTGTGTTGTTTGATGAACAGTAATACCTATATGTTTATATGTCTGCATGTGTCTAAATCAGTTATTAAATGGGGGGGCAAAAAAAAGACTTACCCCTTCACTATGAGACAGGGACTCTCCTGGCTCTTCTTCCTCCCATTCTTCATCACTGTCCACCTCATAGTCAAGTAAACCCTATGGTCGTAGAGAACAGTTGCTATCACTACAGCTACACATAAACTGGCAACCCACATAAGCACATTCACCGCTAGGGTGGTGCATGAACAGAAGACATTAATAAAATTACAAATAAAGGTTTCACCTTGTCTTGTCTAAAGGGGCGGCGAGGTGAGATGTGTGAACTGTTCTTGCTCCATGTGCCCCAGTAGGCTGGACGGTAATTCTCACGAAACTGCAGAAGCTTCATGGGCCCATAACGTTTACGGTCCGGCACACTATCTGGTTTTGGCCCTTCCACTGCTATACAATCCCTGAGAGAGGAAGAAAACAAACAAAAGCTTGAAGGACTATTTTAATTATCTTTTTTTTTTTCAGTTTATAAAAATGATACATGAGAACCAATTTAAAACAATTTTATTGTTCTACAGGCATTAATATATAATCCATTTGTACTTTAGACTTTGGTCATTCATTTGAATTATGTTTGTTTTTATACTTTATTGTCAGACCATTGGACATGACCAGTGATGCAGAATAGAAACTGTAACCGTCCTAGGGCCAGTTAGGAAAATACTAATTTAATAGTTGATTAAATTCATCTGTGTATTATAGAGAAGTGGCACTGACACTGTGTGGAAGAAGAAACTTGCATAGTTATCATTTCACCTTTCCCCTGACTTTTTACAGTCCAATTTAGCTGACTTTGATATAGTAGATCTTGTTCAGACTAACTGACCAAAATGCCTTCAAAATACTTTTCCTGACAACAAATACACTTGTACTGCTCAGAAGCAGCTGTGTTGCTTCCAGCCTGTGTTATGCATTTTACTTTTTTATATTTTTCTAATATTACAGTTTTAACTTCTTTTTAAAAATTAGATGTTCTGCCTGTTCATGTTTGCAACTGGGCCACCTCTTTCAAATAAACATGCTCGCAATTAAACTGACAAACCCTGGGTTAACTTAAGCAGTTAATAACCAAGATCATGTGACTGCCTCTGCCCAAGGAGTCTGAGCAAGGGATTACTGCTGCTGTATATAGATTTACAAAACAAAAGTTAAATTGGGATTACCACCAATTCCAGTCTCACCTGAGTGAGTTGGTCTGTCTGGGTTTTGTGGGTCCTGACTGTCTGGGTTTTTGCCCAATCCAATCTTTCAGTCCATTCAGGTTATCAGCAGGATTCAACAAACATCGGTCCAGTTCCTCCAGAGCAGACTCTTCACACTGAACCCGGCACAGTGGTGCCAGAGCCATGTTTTCTTTGATCTCAAATGGAGCAAATTTCCCGCACGCAGCTGCAAGTGTCTGAAATGACAAGGGAAGAAAACACATGGCAATTATTATACTGGAGGTTCATGAAGTCAATATAAACGAGAAGCACTAAGAATGCAAACCTCCGCCAAGGTAGCTCACTCTCTGAGCAGCATTCACCTTTAGTATTGTATTTTTAACAATACATACATTAAGTTTGCAGTGCAGTGAAAATCGGGTAGCAGCTGTATGAAAGGTTTGGTTTGATTACACAAACCTTATGTAGGAGTAGATAATGGGCACAGATTTTTAAATAACTGAACGTGAATACACTGAGCTTGTTATACAATGTAACAGTAGTTAGTTAAAAATACACTGTAGACTGCTCTCTTTTTGTCTTAACAATACTTGCTGTAAATATTTAATGTGGGTGTAGTTTTAAAGAAAAGACATTTTATGAAACTGTACGGATTTTGAAGGAGAGATCAGAGTTCAAATGTGACATCCATCAATTTTCATGTCAGGTTAGTAAATCTACTTACCTTTGGAGCCTGCTGGATCTTCGATTTTTGTAGAAACCGCGTAATTTCTGCTTTCTCAGCTTTGAGGCGCTGTAACAAAACAGAACAGTCAAATGGTTAATTTTGAATGTAGAACAAGATGCTGAGCACATAACTGTCAAAAAAAAGAAAGAAAAAAGAAAAATAACTTACATCCTTTTCTTCTTTCAACCGTTTCTCCTCCTCTTTCATTCGCTTCTCTTCCTCTTTCTTTCGTTTTTCTTCCAGCTTGGCCCTATGGCAGATGTTAACAAAAATATTTTACCAAATCTAAACTTAAAAACAAAACTTAATTCAGATTGAATGAATAGACTATATGGATTCCTCTATCAGCTGCCCTATATGTCGCTTAAATGACTGCAAGTGTGGAGGGAAATATAAATAATATATGGATAACCCAAACCACATTTCATTTCAGCTCCACTGCCACAACGGACACAAATCTTTACAACCATATGAAACAATGAAAGTGTTTTCACTGTTCAGATTCCTCCATCAGCTGACCTGCAAGTCTCTCAAATGACTGCAGGTGTGGCGAAAAGTATGGACAACTACAATGTAAAACAATAATCCATTACTTACTCCATTTTGGATTTCCGCAGCTCCTCTTTTGCTTTTAGCCTCTCTGCCTTTTCCCTCTCCTCCTTCTCTTTTTTCTCCCGTTTTTCTCGTTCATCCTTCTCCTTTTTCTCCCGTTTTTCCCTTTCTCGTTCCTCCTTTAGTTTCCGAGCTTCTTCCTTCTTTTTCTCTTTTGCAGCTTTGGCCTCTTCCTTCTGCCGTTCCTTCTCCTGTCGCAGCCGGAGTCTCTCGTCTTGTTCCTGTAAACTCTAAATGTCAAATATTTATCACTTTTTCTACAAACTGATAAAGTGGGTGAAGAAATATGACACACAAAAGGCTCACAAAATAAATAAATAAATGAAAGTGAACCGAATGCAACAATTTGGGTTTGTTTGTTTTTTTACCTTCAATGAGCGTCTTTTGACCTTTTTTTGATCTGCTGGTATCTTGGGGGTGGTCTTTGACTCCTGTTAGTGAGAGAAAAGAAATATGGCTCAAGATCATTGCCTGTCTTTCACAAATGCTCCTATGTTTAAATTTTAACAATGTTAAATGTTAACAATGGTATAATTACTTCAATTAACAATGACATTTTTCTGAACAGCCAAGATTACACCCCCCCCACCCCCACCCCAAAAAAAACCAAACAAAAACACCACACTGTTAATTATTAATGATTTAGTACTTTAGTGTTATGCATTACATGAGTAAATATCAAATTAAAGCAATCTATTGATGATAGGAAGCAAACACTCAATAGAAATCTTGTTTTTTGTGTGATATGTGCAGATTTATATATATAATTTATATTTAAAAAACAAACACTTTGAACACTGATTATGTCACGTTTGTAGTAATATACTGCCCAATGTGGGCTGCAACAAAAAGCAGGGTCACAGAGTGCTGTACATACTGTAGGTGTAGTAGCGGGTGTAGGGTCATCCGTCTTGGACTTTTCTGGCGAGCTTTCAGACGGAGAGGTGACTGATGAAACTGACTGCATGGACCGGTTTCCCAAACTAGAAACATTTCCTGACTCATTCAGCTCCTCTGCTTCAGTGTCAGAATCCTGTGTTGTGTCAAGCTGAGAGATGGATGCGGTGTTGTTCTTTTCCTCCTCCTCCTCCTCCTCTTCTTCTTCTTCCTCCTCCTCCTCCTCTTTATCATCATCATTGTTGATTACAACAGAGTCTAATGTTTGCATTTTAGGAGCGCCATTAGCACTGCAGGACTTCTGAGGCGAAGCCGTTGTGTCTTTGCAGTGATGCTTATCTTTTGCTGGGACACAGGGAGAGGCTGAAACAGATGAGGCAAGGGGCTTTAAAGGAGATGATGTGTTGTCCTCAGTCAGATCTATAATCATGTTCTCATCTGAAGTTGTGGCGCGTCTACGGCTTATGAAGCCATCAAGTGGCCCACGACCATTAACCAAAGGTGGGCCACTGCGCACAGAAAGAGGAGAGGATGCATTCTCATTCTCCCTGTCTGAGACTTCAGGTTCAGGGCAGGAATGGGCACAGGGGCGCTTAGGTGGCTGGTTCTCTTTAGGTTCAGGGTTCAGGCGCTTGAAAGGAAGACGGGCTAGAGACAGAAGAAAATACGGATCATTTGGAGCTGCACCACTGTGTATGATGAAAGACACAATTTTGATTCAATATATTGATGAGGGAAAAAGTAATACAGAAAGTCTAGAAGTAAGTAACAGGCACTGTTAGTGCAAGGTATAATTTTACAGTAGACAGCACAGAAATTATGAAACATTTAATCTGCATTGTCTCATTTCTCATTGTCAAGAGTAATATGTTTCACAAAACGTAGAAGTAAAAATTAAACATTGCATTTACCTTGTACAAGTTTCTTGCTGGCATTGTTACTTGACTTACAATCCATGCCTGAAAAATGAAAACAGACACATTAAAAGATAATTAAAGTAAAATTTCACATCATGATATTCATTTGTTTTAAATTACCTGCCAGTAAAAGTGCTCAAGAAGAAGAAGAAAAAAAAGACTATATAATATTATATAATATAATAAGATTTTATAAATATTTATCAATTCCTTATTTATTTCTGATAAATCTTTAAGTAGAGAAAGGGAATTTCTGTGGAAACATTAGTTTAGGAGCACTGTTTTGTGACGTAAAAACATTTCACCAATGGCAAAAGCTTCGAGACAAGTGATTGTAATTAGTTGGAATATTTGAAACATCTGTGCCTTTTAGAGCAAATAAACTGCTTTCTGAGCCCCAATTCAAATCAGTTGTACTGATACAGTGCCAATTCACAACAGTCACATCAAGGCACTTGAAATGGTTTTGATGGACTGAAGGAAAAAAAAAAAAAGAAAAGAAAAAAAAACTGAACAGGTTTTAAACTTCCAAGTATCATTATCCATCTTGGAGCCTGTCCCAGCTGTCTTTGTAAAATGACTGCTATTGCAAGTAATACTTAAAACATAGCGTTTAACGTTTTTTCGTATGTACACACAATAAAACAGTTACACTCATGCTGGTAACCTGTTAAGGCCTACTTCCCCCTCCCCACTCCCAGCAGAGTGATCAGACTTTAGGAGAAGTGGAACCGTTATCAGAACAGATATTGGCATTCATCAATAAAATATTTATCAATAGCCATACCCCCACAAAAAAATATATTTATCCATTTAAAAAGCAAAACAAAACACTGGCAACACCACTTTTTAGTGTTAAGACTGCTTGTAGTAAAATAGCATTTACTGACTAGTGTCATAACAACAGTCCGAGAACCAATACTAATCGATTGGCATTAAATGCATTTATCTGACAGTAAAGGTAGCTCTTGAATGTGCTGTATTAACGGCACAATACGCTGCAACAACAACATTACACCGAGTATAGTAGCTATGTTTGGCTGGCTCTCCCGCCAACCGGCGTATGCATCGGTGCAACAAGGCCCGGTAGAGTCCACCGGGCAAGCGCCTCAGTTTGGGTCTGTCAGGATACGTTTTGCCTGCCAAGTGCTGAGCTGAAACCTCCCTCGAAACAACAACTGAGGATGGTCGTAACAACACGACACAGTTACAACAGCTTCAAAACGTCAATGTGTGTAAAGCTAAAGGGAAGGGAGCAGCTTTGACGCGTTAACTGTGACCCGGCTTTCATGTTTGCTGCTAAGCATCTAGCCTAGCAGCTTTAGCCAAGCACCTGAGGCAGAGCTTTGAGTTGCAAAGTAGAGCAAAAAAATACAACTGTCATTCGGTTAAAGGCCTTTAATTTACAGTTAGATTTGGATAGATATAAATACCGACCAACGGAAGCCTAACTTAACTAATTTAAACGTTATCCGACGCTAAGAATTTCCGGATTGGCGTTAAGTGACATTATAACAGCAAAGTAGTAGGTTAGCTGCACACTGCAGACTTTAATGACTCAAGACAATGGCGCATTTTTTTAAAAAAAACAATCCGTGTGTGTCTCGTCCCATTGGCATTAAATAGCCTCGCGATATAAAACAGTTTATAGCGTTGGATAACTTTATAGTACGCAAATGACAGTTTTGTCAGTTTGTCAACTCTGTACATAGTTAAGACAAAACTGTACTTTGTCTATGATATACATGTAAACATATGTGTGCTTTAATGGCATTCAGGGCCGTAGCATTACCTCTTCTACGAGGAGTCGATGCTGCCAAATGTCCTTCCACCGATGGGTTTTCAGCCGCCAACATCCCAACCACTAACCCGGTGCTTCTGTCGTTAGCTGTGTTCTCCGACAAAGTGACTTCAAAATACCCTCAAGGTTCACGTTAACACCCGAAAATACACCGTGGTAGCAAACCAATATTGTGCTGCTATTCGAACGACATGTATAGCTAATTTATTTCACATAAAACATAATACATACTCCTTCCTACAGCTCCTACATGCTCCCCTGGTTTACCCTGCTGCCTGCCTCGCGCTCCCGAGTCGGAATTGGCGGGAGCCTGTCACTTCCATCAATGCTCCTCACTGATTGGCCCAAAAGAAGTTACCGGCTGCCAAGGGGCTGTTTGATTTGTACTGCTGCGCTGCACGTTTATGCTACTGTTCACGTTTTATAAAGCTACGTGACTTATTCTTGGTAGAAAGAGAGTTCTAGGCACTGTCTGATAGTATTTAAGATGTGAAATGTAACAATAAAAGCTTATTCTCTCATGTCATTCAGTGGTCTAAAACCAATTTAACTTTATTATGTCGACACTAGCCACTCCATAGGGGACACCCGAGGCTGTGAACCAAAGAACGCCCAGTGTAGCTGATGATTCGGGCTCTGTGATTGGCAGAAGAGTTTGCCTTTCTGAAGTCATGGTTGCCATGTTGTGTGAAATAAAGGAATGGGCCGGTATAAACTCCCGACTATTCCAGTGTCCCGGACCAACAGTTTTTTTTGTGTCAGTAAAGCGGCTAAATGTTTATGAATGTGTTAATGAGGTTTTCATTTCTCTACTTTATGATTAAAAAGGCCTCTCTCAGCCTCTGAACCATCCAACACCACTTCCACCTCTGAAACATCCACCACCACGTCCACCTCTGAAACATCCACCACCACGTCCACCTCTGAAACATCCACCACCACATGTACCTCTGAACCATCCAACACCACCTCAGCCTCTGAACCATCCAACACCACCTCAGCCTCTGAACCATCCAACACCACTTCCACCTCTCTGTTTACAGAGAGGGGACTGGGTGGAAACGATGTCATGTTGAAGTCACGCGTTTTCCGTTTACCGCTCGAATGGCTGCTGGGACGTGTAGTTCTACTTGTCCCCTGTACTTGCCGAATATAAACAGTTTTGAACTACATGTGGTGAACGGGGTAACGCAGTCGCAGATGATGGGTCGAAAAAGCGCATGCGATTCCTAAACGATTCCAGGACCCCACCGTTGTCGTCGACTGAACCGCGAGGATATTCTGTTACCCCGGTAAAGCCGACATGTCTTTGCTGTCCTTTTGCTGTACAGACCATTGCTATTCAAATGAAGCAGCAGCGTGAGATAAAGAGTCACTGAGCTCACATCTGCTACTGTACGACAACTAACTGCTTAGGAACACGCCTTAGCTGCTATCAACTCTAAAATGTCTCACGTAAAGCAAAGAGTTAATAACTTCACGTTGGCATTGGTAAAACATGAAAGTGTTCCTGTTGGCGTATTGAAATCGGTATACAATTTGAGCAAAGTTGAAATCTGCAGTTAGAACTAATTAGAGGGTTTACTGTTCCTGCAAGTGGTCGAAGGTTAGCTTGAATTTGTATAAATCAAGGTTAGCACTGGCAGAAAATTAATGGCAGTTATATATATATATATAATTTAAAAATGTGTGGAGATTTACGTCTCTTTTTTTGTATATTCTTCTTTTTCAGGGAAGACGTGGAATTTCAAAATGGCAGGTTAGTTGCTATCTCTCTATTAAAGAAGGGGTGGGCTGCAAAGTACTTGGAATGCAATTTTTACTCCCTGCAAAAATTGGGCCCCTTTAGCAGGCCAGTTTTGGCCTCCAAGCCTCATGTTTGAAATCTTATTTAAAGTACAACTCCACTATACCTCGTTTTCTCTCTCTCCCTCCCTGCACTGTATTCAGATATATTCAAATAAAAACTATTACTATGGCAGTACTTTTATGATGTAATCTTGCTTCTTGTTTCAGAGCGGGCCAATAACTTTCCACCCCTGCCCGAGTTTGTAAAAATAAAGCCATGTTTTTACCAGAACATTGAAGAGGAAATACCTGCACCCCACCAGCTGCTGGTACGCAGAGTCTACATTCTCTGGATGAGTAAGTGTCTTCAGTTTCTTCAGAACAGGAAGCATATGGATTCCTTCCATTTTTGCTGAGAAAGTACTTATTTCCCTTTGTTTTTTTTTAACGCACGCTTATTTCTCCTCTTTGCAGTGTATTCGGGAACACTGTGTGTAAATTTAATCGGATGTATTGCTTGGTGGGCCGGGGGTGGAGGTGCCACAAACTTTGGCTTTTCCCTGCTCTGGCTCGTCCTCTTCTGCCCCTGTAGTTACACCTGCTGGTTTAGACCACTCTACAAAGCTTTCAGGTCAGTTATCATTTAGTAATTCCCACAAATTTATGAGCAGCTTCTGATTACACGCATGCATACATTACAACTTTAGCATAACATCAGGCGTACATTAAAAAGTTCTTATAAATGCAAAACAAACTCAGATGACACATTATCAAAGTCAAATGTTTACCCAGGGAGTAAAACTGGCAGAGAGAAAAACTAATGGCTTTCAAGCATGTTCCAAAGAAGAAGACTATAACAAGCAAAGGCTCTACGGTAAAAGCTGTTTTGTTTTGTTTTCCAGTCTGGAATGCTTAAAAGGCAGCAATAAACATAATATAGATCAAGGGAAAATGAAAATTCATCTGTATCTAGCTGCATTATTCCAGAGCTATGCCAAAAGGTGCAGATCAACTGAAGGTTTTTCAGGGTGCTTTTAGAACAACCCGATAATAATGAATTACAATACTCGAGCCTACAAGTAAAGATGCATGAACTACTATTTCACCATGACTCTTAGACATGACTATTCTAATTTTAGACATATTGCGCAAATGCAAGAAAGCAGTCCGCCATATTTGGTAAATATGCGCATTGAAGCACATATCCTGGTCAAAAATGACTCCAGGATTCCTTTGCCAAGGTAATGCCATTCAGAGTAAGTATCTGGTTAAACACAGTGTTTCTAAGCTTTTTAAAGTAAAATAAACTCGGTTTTATCTTAATTTAGAAGCTTTAAATTAGAAGACTTTTTATGTCTCTTAAAAAAGTCATAGCTTTGAATCAGTTAGATGTTGAGTGAGCTTAAGAGAGCTCCTTGCACCATGTGTCAAGAAAAGTGGTCTAAAAGTATTTCCTGAAGATTATATATCTGATTCAAAGTGTGTCAGTTTCAAGGGTTTACGTACTACTATCTGCATGTGTAATTTTGTGTCAGTATGTTCAGGAAAGATGAGGAAGATTATGATCGCCTCCATCAGGGACATGTATGTTTTTGTTAGCATTTGATTGCATGCATGTATGTCTCACTCTCTGTAAACATGATGGCTTCAAAAGTTTATCATAAATTATGGTAAAACTTTCTAAGCGTGTGGAGTGGCGTCATGTTAATAATCCATTAAAATTTTACTTCCATCCACCGATGTCTTCAAGATCATCTTAAGGATTTATTGGTTGAAAATTGACCAAAAGCCTTTTAACTTACAAGCTAGTTAATAGTTAATAAAAGCGGAAAAGGTGAGCTTTTTTGGTATTTAAAAGTGAAATAAAACAAATCTAACTGAAAGAAAAAGATTATTCATAATTTTGAGAATAAAGTCAAAACCTTGAGATTAAGGTCACAATTCTATTTTGAGGAAAAAGTCGAAACGTGGAGATTACAGTTGTCGTTACAAGACAAAACTGCCACGGTTGCAATACCCTCTGAGTTAGTAAAATCGTTCTTGGTAACTAGGAAGAATATGATTTCTCTTTTAACACATAATCATATTGTGGCGATAAGGACATTAAAAAGATGGTCAGATTGAAAAACTTTGAAGTAGATTTTGAATTTTTTTCTCAAAATAGTTTTTCGGTTTAATCTTGAAATTTCAACTTTCTTCTCAAAAGTATCGACAATATTTCTTTTCTTATGCAGCCCTAATACTCATAGAATGAACTCTTTAGAACGGACAGAAATCAACCCAAACGGTCGCGGCAGATGGCCCCGCCCCTCCCTGAGCCTGGTTCTGCTGGAGGTTTCTTCCTGTATGATTGTTGGGGTTTTCTCTGTATGTATTATTGTAGGGTCTACCTTACAGTATAAAGCGCCTTGAGGCGACTGTTGTTGTGATTTGGTGCTATATAAATAAAATTCATTGAATTGAATACAAGCCCCCAAAAAGTTTGATCAGCTCTGACTGTGCTGCTTGTTTTCTGATTTGAATTTGCACCCATCTTTTGAGTTTACTGAGAACATTTCCAGCTTTTCTGTGACTTGTTCATGTTTCTCTGCAAGTATGTGTGGTAGTTTGACTCAAATCTTGCCAACAAGAAGGAAGAAGCAACTTTGCAACAGAAATGGAAAACCTTCGGGCTTTTTTTCTACTGTATCATCTTTGTATTTTCTTTTCTTATTTTCTTCATAGGGCTGACAGCTCGTTCAACTTCATGGCCTTCTTCTTCATCTTCTTCTTTCAGTGTGTCTTGGCCCTCATCCAGGCTATCGGCATCCCTGGTTGGGGAACATGGTAAGTTGAGCCAAACCTGCTTTGAACACCACACATATTGGCTGCTAGTTTATTTATTTATTTAGTTATTTTATGTTTTTTGGGGGTTTTTTTTTTATCGGATTGGGTCATGAAGGTTTCTCTCTGATGATCAAGGCAGCTGGAAAATGTGCTTTTCACCACACATGGCTGTTTCTCATCTGTTCAATAAAAAAATCATGAAGTTAACATATAAGGAGGTGAAACATTTCAAACTGTTTTAAAATTGAAAATAATTGCCATTTTTAGCCTGTTATCTACCCAGTTGTATGTAAATACAGAATGAAAGTGCATTTTTTTTTTTGTATATGTTTGAGCTGCAAAATAACAATGTGGTTTAAATTTTGTGGATTACTATTTTATTATTTTTTAAATTTCGCAAAGTTTTTATGAAGTGGTGTTTCTAAACCGGTTTCATGTAGTACTGACATCGATCTGTTTTTAGAGACATTGTACTCTCATTGGCCGCATTGTTAGGTACACCTGTCCAACTGTTTTTTTAAGCACTTATCTAATCAGCCAATCACATGCCAGCCATTCAATTAATTTAAACATGGTCAAGATGACCTGCTGATTTTGGCGGGTGGGGGGGTCATTCGTGATATCGTTATAGCAACACTGTGCCTTTATGTCCCTCATGCACAACAAAGTGACATATCTGACAGTGAGAAGTGTATTTCTGCTGCTGAAGATTTGGTAAAAAGGGAGCTGCTCTAACACCCCCAACATAGCGCAATACTTTTGGAAAATATGCTAGAAACCTGTTCCAGCTGAATGGAACAAACTTCTTTTCAACACTCGAGGCAAAAACACTGTGGAGTACAACTGGGCTAGGGTGACAGGCAAATAGGAGAGATGCTGGCAGCTGTGTACAGTCCAAAAGTAAACAAATGGTTCAACCAAACGTCACTGGTGCATAGCTAGTTAAACTGCGTATAGACTGGAAGAGCAGAAAATGGATGCAAATCATTGACGTGGTTATATATTGTTTGGCAAAGTACATGAGACCAGTTTAAATGGTGGAAAAGGAAGCTGTTATGCAAATGGTTAAAGAGACCAAGCCACATTACAACATCCCAGATAGAAAATCTTTCACCATTTTTAGTGTTCAGTGTCTTTTTTTTTCTGCTTCAGAAGTATAATTACATTGTGGCACATTTTCTTAAAAAATATAGTGATTTAATGTTGAGGCTATATTGCCCCCAAATTTAAATGTTGCATGGTTGTTGGTGCCATACAAACCGGTCGGAGTATTTTAGAAACCGTTGGATTTTCCCACACAACAAACTCTAGAATCACAGAGACTGGTCCCAAAAAGATATCCAGTGAGCAGCAGTTCTTTGAATCAAAATACCTTGTTGCTGACAGAGGAGAATGACCACACTGATTTGAGCTGATAGAAAGGAAAAGTAACCACTTGTTAAAAATGAAGGGATGTAGCAAGACCACTGTAGGGAAAACTCCTGCCAGCTAAGAACAGGAAACCTGAGGCCATAATTCACACAAGCTTCTCAAAATTGGACAACTGAAGATTGAAAAAATGTTGCCTTGTCTGATGAGTCTTAATTTTTACTGCAACATTTGGATCGTGGAGTCAGAATTTGGCATGACAGCATGTAAGAAAATGACAGTGAATTCACTGAGCTCAAATGGCCTCCACAGTCACCAGATTTCAATCCAATAGAGCAACTTTGAGATGTCGTGGAATGAGTCTCATCATGGTTGGTCAGCAGAGAAATCTACAGCAACTGTGTGATGATATCATGCGATTATGAACTGAAAAGTTTCCAGGACGTTGTTGTATCTGTCACCTAGAATTAAGGCAGTTATGACAGCAAAACAGGATCTAACTTGGTACTGATAAGGTGTACCTAATGACCATGAAGGTGGCCAGTAAGTGTAGGTCAAGTAGTATCTTGTTTTCTTTCTTTTTTTTCTTTTTTTGTTAACATAAAACATGAAAACAGGGGTGGCTAAACCTCAGCAAGTCTTCTCCTATTTGGAGGATTGGTGTTTGATCGCTGGTTGCTCCAATCTGTATGCCAAAGTATCCTTGGGCAAAATACTGACCCCCATGTTGCTCTCTGATGCGTTCTTCAGAGTGTGAATGTTAGATAGAAAACACTTGCGTGTAGAAAAATGTCTGTATGAATGGGTGAATGAGGCAAGCTGTGTAAAGCGCCTTGAATGTGTCAGTAAAAAGAAACACTCCATATAAGAACCAGGCCAGAAAATCTTTAAAAATGTAGGAAGTAATAATAAAAAGTAATGATAATAAGACTTTTGGTCGATGTGTTAGCTGATCATTGCTGCGCTGTTTGTTGCTATGCCGCAGTTCTCACTGCTTCGTGGCTCTTTTTTTTTTTTTTTTTTTTTTAAAAAAACTTTAAATTGCATTTGTATTAAATCCACTTTGCTAAGTGCATACTGTCTGATACACTAACCCATAAAACTCCATCTCACCCTCACCAACACAACAAAGCGGCTGGATTGCAACAGTGACGTTTTTCAGCCAAAATGTGGGCTCTGCTGTAGTGATGCTTATCACAACTCTGCTCTTCACTCTGGTGACTGCTTTAATGGCACTGGTTCTCATTAAGGTGAGTGAACGCCTATGCTGAAAATGCACACGCACTTACCTTTACCTTTGTGTGGGTCAACGTGCACACAGTTCCTTGCAGACACCAAAGCACACCAACAACTACCTAACACACCCACTTTCTCCAGGTGCACAGAATGTACCGTGGTGGTGGCGGTAGTATGCAGCGAGCTCAGGAAGAGTGGAGCACCGGGATGTGGAAGAGTGCCACGGTGAGGGAAGCGGGGCTTAACGCCGTCGCTCAGACTGCCCAAGGCCCAAGTTTGCCACAGTACCCTACGGCGGTGCCCAGCTATCCCGACAACAGTCACTGGTGATGGCTAAGAATCGCCTCTAGGGGGAGACAGATAACTGGCAGTTTAACCAATGTTCAAAAACGCCATTTATTTAACCCTTACTTTTCAAAGTATACAGGTGTGTTTTATGAGAGGACAGAGTTTTATCAGAAAGCCTCTACACATGTGGTAGAGGACTATCCTTAGATTATACCATTCCATTTCAGCTTTGTTTACATCTAGTCCTTAAAATGAATGACTCAATTGGAAAAAGAGTGAACACTTTCAAGAGTGTGTGAGAGATGTGTGCCTTATAGACCTCTATAATAGGATTGTTTTTGTATATTGCCAGAATTGCATGCTCGAAATAATGGTATGCTGAAGAGCAGGGTTTTTTTTTTTTCTTTTTTGCAAGAAGACGGTGTACAAACTGGTGATTTATTTTTTTTTATTTTATTTTTATTTTATTTTAGGTTTTTGAGCATAAATTGAGCTTATTTTTGATGGTCTGCTTGATATGTCCACGCTTGCCTGTGATGTATTGAAATGCGCCTTACTGTTGTGTTCAGATTTTTGCATGTTTAAAAAAAAAAAAGCCTGAACACCTGATTTTTGCCTTAAAAAAAACACTCTAATTGTTCTTTTTTGTTTTTTTTTTTTTTTGTAAAACTGGATGCTTCAGTGAAGCAACTCTTCTGTGCAACTTATCATTGAGCCAAAACACTTTCTACTCTTACGACGGAGGGGGCTGGGTGTCTCCACCTCAGTATTTCACAATTCCTGTTGTTTTAAAGCTACACTGTTTGCTTCTAGTGGTCAGTGCCCTGCAGTGACAGCACCTTATCAGCTGTTGCAAACCTCCAGCAACTTTCAATTTTCTCCCAGATAGACTGAGTTATTGCATCTGGGGTCTACACTGTGTTGCATGCAGCCTGCTGTGGGATTCTGAATGAAGGCGATTCTCTTATTACAAATGAACGGATGTGATGTAAACAGTAAAGACGGGTACAAACCGCTGGCTGAGTGAACTAATGCATGCAGATGTGGTAACAAATTGTTTAAACATAGTCTAATATCAGACATGACTGAGGAATTATTGGATTTTTTTTTTTTTTTTTTTTAAAGAAATATGCATATATGCTGGTAATGCAACACCGTTGATCCAGATAAAGCTTGTTTGAAGTAAAAGCGCTGTCATAAAGAAAGGTTGCTCCCTCATAGATACACAACTATTTTTTCTTTTTCTTTTCAACATACTGAAGTGCCCTTTATGGCCAACTGCCAAATTTAATACTTTGATTTTTCTGATATTTGATAAGTGACTGATAAAATGGATATGTTAAACTAACACTGTTGCAGCATTTCAATAAATCTTCTTTTTCACATTGTGTTTGCCTGTCCCTGCTTATCATAAAAATACATGTAATTGTTGGATTTATGTTGAAAGTCTTAAAAATGAGTCAGTTCTGCCACAGCTACTTTAATATAGAGTGAATTTAAATCTTTTTACTTGAGTTTTATATATACTTTTTATGCTGTCTTTAAACTGCAAGCAAACTCATGTATATCAGTTCAGTTTTGATAGTCTGAACACCAAAAATCATAGAGAATGAGCTTTTCAGCTGTGATTTGAACCAGATGCCAGTCCTGTCAGTTTGTGGAGCTTGTACATTTCTTGCCTGACTTCACTCTCTTGCTGTGAGACACTAGTGAAATGCTTCGGGGTATGAATAAAAGTATCTCTTGACATCCTAAAATTCTGGATGAAATCTGCTCCAGTAAAGCTCATCATGTTGCAATCCTACTATTCTTAAATTCAACTAATCTGAATTTCGTCATACAGAAGTAGCAGCTATTGCTTCACAAGAAGACCCTGAAAATTGATAATATTTCACCCTACAGTTTTACTGCTGATGAATTCATTTCAGCAACACTATTATCCTTTAGCTCAGGGGTCCCCAATCCCAGTCCACGAGGGACGGTGTCCTGCAGGTTTTAGATGTGTCCTTGATCCATCACAGCTGATTTAAATGGCTAAACGACCTCCTCAACATGTCTTGCAGTTCTCCAGAGGCCTGGTAATGAACTAATCATGTGATTCAGGTGTGTTGACCCAGGGTGAGATCTAAAACCAGCAAGGACACCGGCCCTCGTGGACTGGGGTTGGGGACCCTGGCTTTAGCTTTTCAAATAGAGCCCAATACAGGATGTTTAAAACTAATACCAATATTTGGATACATTAGCTGATTTCCTTTTTCTTTCAGATGCATAAAAAAAGAGATTTTGCCATCATTTGTTACATGAATTTACTAGTTTACACTCCCACTACTTAGTTCAAATTGTTGTATTTGTAAATTCTGAAGACATTGGTTGCCAACAGGAAGTTGCACTTTACATAGTTTGCCCACCAGGGGGCAATGTCAACACTCATAACAACTCCCGTGTCTTCTTTTTTTAACTTTCATGTTTTGGGCCATCATTAATAGATACTAACCGATTAGCAAATATCTATCAGCAAATAATGTCAATTTTCCAATAAATAGGTCGGGATCTAATTTTAATAACTTAAACACCTCCTAGAAAGTCAGTAGTCTGTTGCTTGACTAACAAAGAGAGACAATTATTTGCACCTATGACCAACTTAGAATTGATAATTAACCTAGTGGACTGTGGGAGGGAACCCACACAAGCACCTTTAGGAAATTCTTGCTGTGAAGTAATGGCGCTAACCACTGCACCACTGTGACCAAAGAACAGTATTACAATGCATTTCACAAAGGCAAATAAATATTTGCCATAAGGATCACACAATAACTCAAAGCCAGATGTAAGAGAAGAAGCCTCATTTAAATGTTGGGAGGAAAATTGGGCCTGAGAGAGGTCAGCTAAAAGCCATTTCTGAATGATGTAAACAATTCCGTTTAAGTCTTGTAGCTTTATTGTTATAAAATGTATAACAGTAGTTGGCAGTGTTATAGCTGGGATGATTTTTTAGTGCTTTTTTAAAAAAAAAACCACACACACACAAATTGTACCCTTTTTTAAAAATAAAAAAAATATTCAAATGCACAGGTAACGTTTGAATGATTACTTTGTACTACTGATATTGTACATCCATATACAATTCTGCTGTTTAATAATTCAGCAGAGACCCATTTCAACTCTCATACAGACAGTTGTACAGAACTTGATGAAACATAAAAGTCTCTGCGCAATGGCGCTAATGACCAAAACTGAAAACCACAGAGAAGATTCGGGGGGCTTCACTGCAATTGACTTTTTGTCCAAAACAAACTGTAATAATTACAAACTGAGCATGTGGTGTTAATGATGATGTTTTCCTCCCCTACAAACCATATGAAACCTTTGGAAACATTAATATTGGAAGCAGTGGCTTTGTGCGTTGCCTTCAAATACATTTCCCGACTGTGTGAGACATTACTGACTTACTGATTCATAAGTGCATGACAAGACTCTCAAAGTTCCTTTCATGAGCAAGGCAGCATGTTTCAAAGTTTGACACCGAAACTCTTGGATACGCTGCACCTCTGAGTTGTTTCACTGACAGAAATGTACACCCCCACCCTTGACATTACAATGACATTTTTGTCTGTTTCTTATTAAGTGTACAGTATGCTTGGAATCAGAAATGTAGCTACACACCCAAAAAAAAGAAAAGAATTACCCCAGTTCACCCTAAATATAAAAATTCTTTTTTTTTTCTTATTGAAGACAGAGGTCCAACTGTTATATTAGTGGGGGTTATGCTTAAAAATAGAGGTATGTATGTAGAAGATGTTTTTTACGGCCACCAGGAAATAAAATAGTGATACAGACAACTAATCAATCATTAAAAATCATTGAAAATATGATCAAAATGCTACATGTCCAGTGTTTTTTATACTATATTTACAAATAAATAGTCCAAAAAGAAAAGGTGTTGGCTGTACACAATCTATTGCACAAAGCTTATTCACAATTTATCATTATACAAAAAAAAAAATACATATAAAAACATTAACCACCAGTTAAATATCTTTTTAGAGGACATGAGCTGCCTGGTAAGAATATGGAAATGATAGTCAGTGTAGGAAACAGGACACCAATCAAAAGAATTTATAATGCGAAAACCTTTATAGGAACCGAATCTCAGTGGAAGTACACCTATAAGAAGATAATTAGTGCACGAGTCCTGCCTCAGACTGAATTCTACACCTCAGCAGAGTCAAATCTCTGACTCATCATTTATGTATCCCAGACCGTCTAGACTTGAAATGTTGGCCATAGGTGGGAAGTGATGCTCCCCATTCCCTTTGAAGTCAACAGCAGGGTGATTATTATTGGCACTGCAAGGTCTCCCGGATTCAGGCCCCAGGAGCTTTACCTCTGAAGTTCTGTTCAGGATCTGCCTGTACTCGGTTGACTGCCTTCTCGTCTCGCTTTCACTGGGCCGCTGTACAAACTTTAAGCACTCCCAGTGCCCACGGCTCCAGATCATAAATATGACTCCCATCAGAGAGAGGCAAATCAGGGACAGCATGGCCACAGCCACCTGTAGATGAGTTATCCTGCCACTGTCGTTTTGACTCTCAGGAGACGACGGTTTGTCAATGTTATGGCTTGGCACTGGATCTGGTGTCAAATGTATTGTTTTGTGAATAGCTTCTGTGGTACTTGGCACCTCTGTGCCAAAGGTGGGGATGATCCCCGTTGTCGGGTCAGAGTAGAGCTGTAAATGATAAACCGCCACAGTCTGGTTGTATTTTTGTCCGTTTATCTCCTCTACTGAGTCGCAGATATACTGGCCAGCGTCTGTTTCAGAAGCTCTCAGGATGAGGAGACCGCCACTGTAGATGTAGTATTTGTTGTTGGAGTGAAGTGTGTGGTTACCGAATCGCCAGTCGGCCACAGCCAAGTTAGAGTGAAGTTGGCACGACAGCTGGATATTGTTCTCTGGAATGAGGACTAATTTGACAGCTGTCACTGGATCTAAAAACACACAAACGCAAGGTTAATTCATGCTCATAAAACTGCTGCCATGTCAGCACACGCTTGATCAAAGGGTGTCAGTGGGTTTCTCTCTATAATATTGTTATTTCTACAATCGAACAACCCTTGTGCTTTCTTGGGTTCTGATTTAACACTAAATAAAAACAACTGAATTTAAAGTACCTAGTGGAGGACACTGTGACACATCTCCCTTCTTGAGACTCTGTATTGTATGTGGGGAGGGGGACAAAGTGTTGACGGAGGAGCACTGCTTGGTGGATAAATCCCAGGCGCAGTACGGATCTCTTGCAAGGATGCAGTCCACACAAGTCTCATAGCGGCTGCAGTTACTGACCGGCATCTGGACTGCACCAGAAGTTGAACCAGCATACACTTGACCCTATAAGTGCACAACCATAAAGACTCATAAATATCAAAAGACTAAAAGTGTTTCACCTTTAGCACAACTGAAGCCTCTTTATTGCCTGTAAGTGCCAAATAGGTGATGACATATTCAAACTAAGATATTAAACAGTATCTCCCAACCAAAACCCCAGCAAACAACCGTAAACTGTGATGATGACGAAACATGTATAATGGACTTGTTATTATATATTACCTCAGTGGATGAGAGGCGCAAGATAGAGATGGGCTCATGGTTTTCATACAGCTGAACCTCCTCGATGATGAACATCTCTCCGTCATAGTTCACAGCCTTCTGAACATAACCGTTTCCTATTACAAAGACAAAAAGCAGAGCCCGTAACTTACACAAGTGTATTTACCCATATCATTTGATGACTCTGCTGCTTAGAACAAATCATAAAAAGCTAATGATTAACCAAGTTATATTTATTGCTTTAAAAGCCTTTACTTTGGTCTCTGCATTTGCAACAGTTTTAGATTTGCTTTGGGCATTTTTTTAGCCAAGATATTACAAAAAAATAGGGACTATAGAAAAGACACACAGGAAATGGTGTGAGGTGGACTCAAACTCAGGCACCTGCAGCCACCTTCAGCAAATGGGTCACCTGCCCAACCAGGTGTTGTGCAGGTGATGCCTTTATAAAGGGGAAAAACTGTGCCATCAGTTTTTTAATGGTAAGCTTATAATTAGAAAACACTTATATGACAAATGTCATATTGTTAAAATCTATTGCTAAATTAATGGAAACTAATATGTTCACCTCCTTTAGTTACATTATAACGACAATATAGTTGCGTTAAAGTTGCATAATTCAGTCTTTCTGATAAGTTCTGATCAGATTTAGTGAGAAACATAATCACTGAGGACATTTGTAATTCTGTGTCAGGGAGCCACTTGCAGTGCTCAAACTCTTTCCCAAGTACAATAAACGAATCTCTTTTTAATCAGCATAATTAGGAAAATTAAGTCCTCAAACAAAATTTATGTGGATCACTATGTTTTTTCAGCTGCTAAGCTTCACCCAGAAACAAAAGCCAGTTTCTAAATTTGCTGTTCTGATATCTGATTTTGTTACTTTTCTCCTTCTGTCAAGTTTTAAAGCCATTTAAAAGGTTATGAATTCATTTAAAACTGCAGTATTGAATATTAAACTTTAACTATTTTAAGAATTTTATGTGAGTGACTGTTTAACATTAAAAATAAAACTCAAGTAACACCGGCAGTACTCCAAAGGGGCCTTTCTGAAAAACACAGCTCTTTTTTTACCTGTGCCAATAAACATGACGTTATATTTCTCTCCGTCCAGGCCCTGCACGCTGTCCACTACAATCCGAGTCAGCAGAGCTCCCTTCGTGATCAGCAGCGGGCCTCCTGTCAGTGGCCGAATTGCTTCATCCATTAGAGGACGATCCCTGATGAACTGGAGCGTTTTGTCTGGAAGGTCCAGAGAGCGATTCATCCCCATTTTACGCACCATGTTATTGATGCACTGAAACACAAAAACTGCAATTTAGATTTTTTTTCTTCCACATCTATTTGCGTTTATCTGGTTTTTCAATTGAATTTCTGCATGCAACAAAAGTCTGTAAACGCACCGCTCCTGGTCTGGGGACCGGCACCTCACCGGTGTACATCACCCATTTAATATGAGACGTCTCCACAGCAACAGGGGTTTTAAATTTTCCCTCATTGAAAATATCTCTAATAGCAGATACGCTGTATGCACAAACAGCCGACTTCTGGGATAAGCTCCTGGAAACGCAAAATAACAAGTTTAGGTGAAACACACTGAGACAAGTTCTTATCAGCTGAGTCTCAACAAAATACTAGTTGCAACAGACTTGGTAGTTTTTTTTGTGTGTGTTAACTAAAAGCTCAGGATACTCCTAACATTCCTCAAAGCCAACACCCGCCATGAGCAATAAGAGCCACTGGATTTGTCAGCAAACACTTACGACTGTGGAGTGAAGACAGCATAGAAGACACTCTTCCTCCAGTCCTTGTGTCTGAGAAGGAAGACATCCTGGACAATGGAGGGCAGGCTGGGTTCAGACAGGGAACAATCCAGGCGAGCTTTCAGGAACGACGTCCATTTCCTCTGCAGTGTCCGCTGGCCGCCCATATCCCCCTTTAACACAGATATGGAGCACTCTGTGATGTGTGTGCGTATTGCCTTTAACAACAACCAGACCTGTGTCAGACAGGCCAAGGCTTTTGAACAGACTGTGTTCATTACCTTGCAGACACGGGCCACTCGTGACACTGAAACCTTTCTGTAGAAGTCGTACTCTATGGCATTTTCACTGAAGAACAAGTACACCTTGTCGTCGTCACCATCGGGACTATCAAAGCTCTCATCCACAAAATCCATGTAGACAAAGTTTGGCTCTGAAAACACAAATTGAATTGAATTGAACAAATTGAATTGAACACAGGCAAACGAAAATAGAAGTCAACAGCACCACAAATGCTAAAATGTTCATGGGGTGCTATAAAATTTTAAAAAGAAGGGAGAGGAAGTCACCATTGAGCCAGGAGCTTTTAAACTCGGTACGAAGAGCCAAGTTTGAGCTGCGCAGAACAACAGGCTCAGAGCCCAAGAAGTTGATGGATGTGGCAGAATACAAATCGTTTCCTGTGAGACAGGAAAAAGAGGTGAGTGAAAATTCCTGGAAATCCATTATTCACTTTAAATTGTAACAACATCACATTTATATACAGAAAAATTTGGCATTTCGACAAATCGTACAGAGAATGCTGAATGAGCAGGTAGCTCTAGCAAATATACTCCGAGCGGTATTTTTCTTATTTATTTAGTGTGTGAAGTGAAATCTGCACACAACTATCAAATCTTCATTCTGTGTCTGCCTCAGACACTCACCAACCATGAGGGAGGAGTATCTCTGAAAGGGATCGAAAGGACACTTGCCCTTCCCCTCCTCCGGCTTTCCCTGCAGCGTCAGCTGTCCTTTAGCAAACGTCTGTCAGAAACAAAGAAAGAGATCAAGCAAAGAGAGAGAAGTTGAGAAAGCTGTGTTTTATTGAGATTGAGGACTGGAACTGGAAGCTTACCGTTTGTTCACATGTTTAAGCAGTTAACTAAACTTGCATACATTTGCATAATAACTCGCTAAAGTGTCCAAACGAAACAAAGGGTTTTACATGGGTTTTCAAAACTCATATCCGGAATCACTTTAATTGTTTCTCTTAAAATCTTCTTCCAGAGTCTGGGGATACATAATGAGCATATTGTCTGCCTTTATTTATTTCGTTTGTTATTATCATAGTGCTGCAGGTTCACATAGCAACAGTTTAACACCCCATTGTGATGCAGCCAAGGCTGCTCAGTCCTCTGAAATTTCAGCATCTTGCCAAAATAAACAGTTTTCCAAGACACCAACAACAGGGGAAGGAAATTTAACTGACGATGACAGGAGAGAAATGTCTCAAAGCGTGCCCATTTACAACACTTCAGCATAAAGCTTAACAAAATTCAATCCCAGTTATTACTGCTTGAATTAAAGCAGACCCTGCACTGCCTTCTGCTCTGTTATGTCTAGAATCTTTCAGCGGTGGATGCAAGTTCAGCATATCTACAGGTAGGCTACTGGCTGCTCAACAACCCTACATTTCAAACAGTGAGAGCAGATTTTCTGAATATGGTCATCTAAGACACACCACCCTAGCTGTGTACCATATACCAGCTGTTCACATTGTTTGTTTGTGAGGGGCAGCCAATGAAATAAAAGCTGGTTAAAGGGAGAGGAGCTTGTTTAAGAGTGTAAGATAAGGTCATCCAGAGCTGCACTAGTACAGGCCAAGAATAAAATATGAAGTTGGAAATGAGTATTACAGGTTCCCTTTAAAGTAAGACGAGTGATATCATTTTCATTGCAAACAAATCAACATGGGAAAGGATAAAAACAAAACTGTGCATCCAAACACACGTACATTAAACACGTACTCTTAAAGCCACACTTACCAGATAATCACAGGTCGGGCTAAACGCATTTGTACCACACACATAAATTGTAGAGTCATTCACTCTGTGCAGGGTTCGAATGTAGTTGCGGCATTCCACCTGCAACAAGATCCAGCAGAGAGAATGCCAAGGTCAGAGCTTTGTTAGTTCAGCCGCAAAAACACAAACATACCGCATACATATAGTGACTGCACATGCTGTCCGCAGCTCGCGGTGACCAAAAGGTCAGGGCTGTGCACATGCGTTTTCTTCCTGTGCCTTTATTTGGACTCTCAGCACAAAGATATGAACCAAGTACTTCAAAGAGAATTCCATGTAAAGACATGAAAAGGGGGGAAAAAATCATTCTCATATAAATGATTTACACATGTGCTAAGATAAAATGTGAGGGGGGAGTAAACAACTTTCAATCAGTGGTCATCTTTTACAGCTGCAGCAATGCCCCCGAAGTAAAAGTTGTCTAGTGCAAAGCTTTTGTTTTGAACGACTTTACACAAACCTCTGCATTTTTTCCCTTGTACGTGCAGTCCCTCTGCTTATCCTCAGTCACCCGCCAATACACCTGCACCAACAAAACGAAAGAGTCTTGTCAAAGCATTCAGGAATGGTGTTGCAACCACACAGTAGTAGTCCAGTTACAGCTTTCACAATTTATTGTTTTTCGAGACCTGTCAGCGTGCTCTAAAAGCATGAACCGGTTAGCTGGCAAAGCACTCCTCGCCTCTGACTGTTAGACATGTATCTACAACTATGAACAAACAACAGAGTCCAACAGAACCATTATTATTGAAATATCTCATGCAAATGTGCAGTGGTCATGTAGAATGAAATGATGTGTGAGAAAACACTGTACGTAATGTGACCTAACATTTGCCCATAATTCACAGCATCTGAAAGATGTGCAAATATGAAATGTTTCTTCTCTTTATACGACAAACCTGACACAGTGGATTTTAGGGAAGATATTTAATATGCTGTGAATGATATTTGAGACTTTCAGAAAAAAAAATAGAGCAGCCCATCTGACACCAACAACCGTGCCACCTTCCAAGTCACTTAAATCTCCTTTCTTCCCCATTCTGATGCTCGGTTTGAACTTGTCTACATGCCTGAATGCACTGAACTGCTGCCATGTGATTGGCTGATCAGATATTGCCGTTGCACTTAAACAGATACACCTAACAGAACTGCCAGTAAGTGCATGCAATAAATCAGTACTGTATACCAGCCTAGCTGTTGATTAACTATTGATTAACAACCTCTATTATTAGCTATTATCAGCTATTGCTATACTGCAAACCAGCGAGAAACAAAATGCTGTTTACTTTTTTTTTTTTCTTTGTAAAGTACTGAAATATTTCACTGTGTTAAGCCAGTGCTATCACAGCATAACCTAAAAGAAAGTTAAGAACCATGAATACAAATCACATCTAAGCATGATAAGTCCATCTTTGGCAGGGCTACTGATTATTTGAGGAAATGGCTTCAGTGCTGTGGTAAAACATCATAAATGTTTAATGAATCTTCCATTTTTAATCCACAGTGATAAAAAAGTTAACTAATTACTATTTCATCAAACAAAATAAGCAACATGGCAGCTCCAGCGTGTGTATTTTATATGTACATTATCTGACAGCTCTGTTCAGAGTGTACAGACTCCTCATGTTCTTACCGTAGCATTTTTAACTGAGATGTCGCTCATATTCAAAGCATAGATGGCCTCTCTTGCCCCCAGCAGCATCACACCCAGGTCTTCTCTCATCAGCATCGTGGAGTAATTGTAGATCCCCTCTTCCCTGAACAACTTCAGTTCATCTGCACGGAGAAATCTGCATCATACACTGTTTTTTGCTTTATTTACCTCCCACATGTTAGCTACTGTGACTCCATGCAGTAGGAAAAATGCCCCCACAGCAAAAAGCAAAATGCTAATTTACTGAAAACTAATAAACTTGTCCCAGCCAGCAAAAAAAGAGATGTTAAAGTTGCACTACTGGGTCATAAATCACAGTAAAAATATTCAAAACTGCTCTAGCTTCTACTTCTGATTCAGCCCACAAGAAGAAAGAATATGCTAAGAATAATTCTACGACATATTACTGGAGAAGGTGAGAGAATCTCTGACTCACTCTGGTAGGGCACGGTCTTTCGTGGCACACAATAGTCAGTATTGACGGCACTAAAACAAACATGGAGCATCAATCCACAGATGATGCTCAGAGCTAAAAGAAGAGACATGGCTCAGAGTCCGGGTTTGTCTAAGTGTGGAAGAGCTGCAAGATCCAGCTCCGCCACCAAAGCACGAAATCAGAGAAAGATCATGGTCCACAGTGTCAGTCCAGATGTTGTTAAACTGTGGTGATGTCACGGTCCTGGACATGTGCCACTCTGGCATAAGTCATCATATTTGCTTACAGAGACCCTCTAAAGGTGAATCGTTCAGATGTTTAACCGGGAACGTCGAGCGCAGCTACTTGCTGGAAATCTATGTCGGTGTTAGCCTCCAGCGCAGTGCTAACGAGCTGCTGGTGTCCTCTCTGGAAGGAGGAGCAGAAGCCATACTGCTCAGCTAGTGGTGAGGGATGCTGGAGGAGATCATTTTCACGGCAGCCCACTTCTGGAAGAGATATGAAAACATCTATGAAATAATCAAAGAGACCCATGAAATAGAAAACCTGACTTTAATACCAAACCGGGAAATATTACATACATTAAAAGATGGCTACATTCCCTTGAAAATTTTCAATGCAAGCTGGTTTTCCTCCAACACTTTATTTCTTTTCATTTTATCTCTGTTATGCTTGATGATTTTTATGCAGGGCAATATAAATTTAAAATACCCCTACTATTATGCCCTTGCTACCTATTCTTCTTATTTATATGGACTTATGGCCTCTACAAGAGTCACTCTGCATGGCTCACAATTCAAAATAATCCTTTTTATTTTACATTATACTGGGTCCTCATGTAGCCCCCCAGTTCATCTACTGCCTGAAACAAGCACTTTAGCTCCCTTTGTATATCTAAGTTTATCTAAGTGACAGCAAGCAAGACTGGGAAAAAGAGGACCACTTAAGATGAACACTTTGTTCGTTTCCTGGAGAACTTCCGTCTTTCTTTCCTTCTTTTTTTTTATTAATTTGGGTTGCTCAAAAGAGCCAGATTAGAAATAAGCAACACCTTTCAAGTTAAAGATAGTAGTGAAAATACTAAGGTGGGGAAAAGTGTCATAAATGAACATGTTCTGTTTGCTGACCGTTAAATCCTGAAGACCCAGACAGTATGCTAAACAGAGACAAATATAACCATGTTTTTCTACCAGAGATGTCTGGCACCACTTACAGCTAAAGCTATGACAACTCATAACAGTAAACTTCACAAAGGAAGCTGATGTTAAGTGAAATTCTGCAGAGTGCCATATACTGCCCACCCACCCCCACTCTCTCTCTTCCTCCTGCACTCTCTGTATCTTCCTGTCCTCCTCCCTGATAAGAACCTGCTTCCTCTGGACTCAGCAGGGTTCAAGCAGCAGCAGGGATCAGTTCAGGTTTGGGCATGCATGCAGATCACGGTAATTCACAGCTCACGAACTCCATCCCTACCCTGGGATTCATGTGGAATCGAGACTTACCACTTCTTTGGCGAGATTCACTCTCTGTGTTTTGACAAACTGAGCGATGCAGCCTCATTCAAAATTCATCAAGGCACTTTAACTCAGAATAACACAGAGAGCATATTCGAGACCAGATTCGCAAGGTAAAAAAAAGAAGAAGAAATAAATAAAATGGGCTGTGCAGTACACAGCTGCTTTGCATGTGCTATTCAGATTTAAGTAAAAGTAAAAAGTAAAGATGCATCTTTTGAAACACCGTACAGTCCTCGCCTGTTGACAGAAATGAAAAAATGACAGTATCTATATTTCCTTGAGAGACAGCTAAGCGTTAACTCCCCTGGGTCTTTGAGCAGTCTGGGTTGTGCATTTTGCAGCTAACCTGCTGTGCTCCCACCCTGTTGTTAGTTGACACAGTGGGACGAGCTGCTGCATGTACAGGACTGCCCCTGTGTTGTCAAAGAGGTGACATGTTGCATGCTTTTTACCACAGCCTGTTGGGGGCTGAGGGTACTGTGGGTTAAGCGCCACAGCTGAACGGAATAACTGAAGGTTGTTTTTCAGAGGTTTTGGCAGATAGGTCACGATGGCGCAGACAGGTAGGCATGGCCACAATAACAATACAACACGCAACAGTCGTCCTTTCCTCTGGCTCTCCCACACTTAACATAGCGTAAGGGGTGACAGTGCACTGCTGAGGGATTTACAACACATATGATGCAGATTTCCATTCGCAATGGGGCCCTTAGGTTATGTTTAGTCTGGAAGTCGCTTAATGAATTGACAAAAAATTATATAAATCCTAAAAGTCTGAGAATTTGAAAGTAAAAAGGCCCCACTGCTTTATCAGTGGATTGTACGTTATTAATCTAAACGCATTAATTAGTTATTTATCGCATTAATTTGCCTCCTAAGGCAGGAGAACAAGCTGAAATTGCATCTTCATTAGCTAGTCACTAAGATAATGTTGTCTGTATCCATTTAGTGATCCCCGAGAAGCACACGCAGTTTATTTATTAAACGTGTACCTCCACAAAAAAACAAAAAAGCCCTATACCTTGCTACAGATAAAATCAGTGTTTGACTGCAGGCTAACAAAACAAAGAGTGTAGAAAAATGAAAATTTGTTGTCATTCTTTGTTTATTTATAACTAGAAACAACACCTCTTACATTAGAGGTAGATAGCCCGTTAGAAGTGCAGCTTTTAATATTTTGATATAAAAATGTGTTTTGTTCATGTCTTTGGTCATTGCTTCTCTTGCATGTGAGCGCACGCTGATGCATGTTCAGACTTTGACATTAGTAAATGTGCTGAAAGCTTCTCTGATCTTACCAAAAAGAAAAATCAGATTTTGTTCACTGCGTACGAGCAGGGTTTGTGACACCGCGAGTAGCTTGGAAAAAACAATCGCAGTCAAACGGGAGATACGAGTTGTATTGAAATCAAAAAAATAAGGGAAGAAGGAAGTAAAGATTTCATTTATTTTAAGAGGTGCCGCACCTTTCAGGATTTATTTTTCCTTGGAAACGAACATTAATTTTACATTTCAGATTCGTGTCAAGGATTTCTTTAGAATGCTTTTTTATTTTTAATCAGGAAAGACACACCAATGGACTGTTTGACCTTTTTTGTCATGCACATGGTTGCATAACACCTCTGCTCTACATAATGGCTTACTAGCAATACAGCCCCTAAGACTTTATGGCTTATTACACAGTGGCCTTTTATCAGTAGCACACCTTTATTAGTTCTGGTAAGTAAAACTGGACCTAAGATGTTTTAACACTACATTTTAAATGGTGAGCCATTTATTAACATTAAAGGATTTGACCTTTTGTACAGTGAACCCCAGCTTTTTTGATTTCCTCTTGTTTATTTGACACCTTAGTGACAAAAACAAAATTAAACCGCCATCAGCGTGGGTGTGCTCTTCACTGAGGCAAAAGCTATGTCATGGCAGACTAGTGTACTATTATTTTTCATAAGGGCACAATGAAAATTCCAGTACGGCCAGCAAAACCTGCTCACGGACCCGTCACTGAGCACGCAACTTCATTATGCAGCTCTGAAAAACTTGATATTCCCTTTGTGTCAGACTATAGAGCAAATCTATAGTATTCACTCACTGACTAATACTGCTCACACAGACAGTATACAGAACCTGCATGCAATGAACAACACTTTCTAATCTCTATACTTCTTTTGCTTCTGTTTAAAATCACTGACATTTAAAGTCTGATCTGAGGTCAAACAGTACTCACAGAATTAACAAGATTGTGACTAAAACTGTTCCCTTGCATCTCCATACATCTAGATGTAAATGTCAGCATGTACCTTCCTACCAAGCAACATTCTAAAAGGGTTAGCACAGGGACTCCAAGTGGGTTTTTACTCATCAATCGGTACAACACGAACAACTGTGGGTTCAAAAGCTGCACATGAACGAGTTCAATGCGCCGAAGAAGCCTGGCAGCAGTATCTCAAGACACTGGAACCACTTGAAGCATGGGGATATTTATAGCCTCTTTAGGAGCCTCCACGCCATCTCCAAAAACCTCTACAATGGATTCTCAACACAACTGCATGCTGATAACAAAGTAAAAACCTCATGCAGCAGCAGCGTCTGAGACGTGCTCAGACTTGCATGCTGTTGTCATCCCTGTGAGTCATAATACATCCAAAAAGCAGTCAGTCAAACAGCTGGAGTGAGCCATGACTGCTTTGGTGTACGCTTTAAATGACGGCACTACGCTGAGCTCTATGGGTGAGGTCCCCTTCGGCAGTAACTGATTTACCTCTGGCCTGACAAACTGTTATTCAGGTTTGATTCTGTTTGAGTCACTGGCCGACTGGTTGGTCGTCTACTGCCTCTTTCTACGTCTTGTTGCCATTTGGGCGTAAGCTGAGCTGTCCACTGGCAGGCCAGCTGGTGAGCTGGCTGTGATACAGTATTTCAACAGCACACCGGCCTAAACAGGAAAGTGCCAGTGGGAGGGTTTTCACCCCTGACACCCTGTGTGTCACAGACTGTTGTTATTCACTGGAAAACACACCCCAGTTCAGCACCGGGTTATATTTTTGCAAGCTCACATTTGCTTAAAAAAGAAAAAGCCCCCCTTCTTTTATCACAATGACAGTAGCTTCCCACCTTTTGTTTTGATATGCAGGAGGATTGTAATTAGCTGAGAGCAATACTTCAAAAACATGCAGCGTGTACAGTTTTTAAGCTACGGCCCAAATCAGTGGAACTGCTCCAGAGCACAACTGACAATATCATTAACTGGAATGAAAGTGACAACTGAGCAACACAATAACAAAAGCAAAAGCCTGTTTAATAAGATACTGACTTTTGTTTTGACATATCAATTGTTATTGAGTCAAAATGCACGCATGAACGCATGCACGCACGGAGAAAAACACACACACACCCAGGCAAGTCTGTGCAGGTCGTAAAGTGTGGGGCGCTCCTCTCTTTAGATTTAAAAATCAACACCAAGAATTTACTTCACAACTCTTACATTGTTTTTTAGAAAAAGGGTGTGTGTTTTTTTAAACCAGTGCTATCAGCTCAGTGTTTCACTTTGGCCAAACAGCCACCAAAAACCAGAAGATAATTTAGATTATAATACCATAAAACATTACAGAGGACAAAAAGGAGCAAAATACAAAGAATTCATGTCTCACTTTATTTTAATTATCACTGAATTAGTTCTTTCAGCTTTCTTAGAAACACTAAGGTGTATTCTTACTGGGATGGCAAGAGAATCTTGATGTTTTTGTAAACCTTCACTTACTGCCATTACGATGTTATTATTCATTTCATTTTAAATCCAAGAACTGTCGTGTTGATAAACTGCTATGTGCAATATGCCTTCTGCTTTCTGAGCTTAGACCTTAAAAACCTGGTGCCAGCCAGTTACGATGTGACAACCATAAAGATGTTTTTCCTGTTGTGGTTTCCAAGACTTATCTAATCTCTGAAAGCCACTTTGCTGACTGTCTGAGTCGAAAGCAGTGGTTTTCAAACTGGGGGCACAGACTTAAAAGAAGACGGGTGGGGGTAATCTGATGATCAATATGCAAAGAAAGAGCATGTTGGGAAAACAAGGGTTTCCTGACGCTGTCCTGCTGACCTTCACTAAAAAATTAACTAGCTTTCTTTTTTGTCCTTGTTATTGTTAATGATTGATAACAAATCTGAGTCACCTACTGATTGGGGGTGGGGTGGGGTGGGGGGGGTCATGCTTGGATAGGCTTGAGAACCGCAGTTTATGAGAATCTGATTGCGAACTATAAGAAGTTATCTGTCAAATAAACTCCAAAGTTCTTTTGGAGATGAATCATATACATGCAATCACAGTGAAACAGACACAATCTGCATCATCTCCAGCTTAGAGCAATGTAAGTGCTATTATCAGCCATGAACCCACTTAATGTAGCTGCAGTATGACAGCTACAATCGGGCAATCCCCAGAGCAAGTGAACTGAAAGCCTTTCGCTTCGTCTATCGTCTGCTCACTGAGCCACACACACTCACACTGGTACAATTCTCACCATCACTAAACCTCCACCACAAATGCCCTCGAATATCCGCTTCACCCCCATTTAACATCAAGTTCGGTTCAGTGATAATGTGCATACAATGAAAATTTGCTGCTTTTTAATAAATTATTTGAGAATGTGTGAATTATTGATGCAGCAGTATTGATTTTTCTTTTTTTTTGTAGCTGTGTGTGCGCAGAGAAACGTTTCCAAAAGATTAAACATGCTGATGCTTCCTTCTGCGCACTATATTTAAGAACTGATTCATGTCTCTGAAGTCTGTGAATTATATGCTTGGTTTCCAGCGGAGGAAAAAATAAATAAAAATCTGTGTGCTTAAGCTTTATAAAACAGCTTGGCTCGCGATTCAAAGCGTTTTCTCCTCCGGATCCAACCACACACTCGCTCCCGTAGCGCTGCTATATCTAATCCTGAGGGCTGCAGGGAACGCGCGACCCCTCCAAGTTTGATGAGCGCGTCTCTCTCAGTGTAACACTATCCGTGCATCTACTGGTGCAAGAGTTTGTAAGTATATCCTACTACTGCTTACTCTAACGCCCCGCTGCTATTATTAGATTAGGATATCCTATAATCTTAAGGTAAGTCAGAGAATTTGCAGTGCGCTGTCTCTGCAACCTCTCCACCTAGGTTGGCAATCCAATTCCCACAACAAGCCCGAGCGCAGTGGAAAAATAACACGCCCAATGGGAAAAACCTGCACCAATAACAAAAAAGGAAAGAAAAAAACGAGTCAGCGGGCTAACTCGCACTTACCAGTAGTTAGTTTTAATATTAAACCGCTCAGAGTGCCGATGTCTTTCCCGTCTTGAATCCAGCTCCGCTCTTTCTTTCCCTGCTCCACCTGTAACGTTCACTCCACGTCTAATTCCTGCAGGGAGTGATTATCCGACAGGCAGCTCTCAGCGGTAGGCAGCGCCTGATCACGTCACGTGTTTGATCGCACCTTTACTTATATAGGAGCCGCTGGGCTTCGCGACCGAGCAGATAGCAACGACATAGTCCTGTTAATGTTCCCAAGTGCGGACTTTTGGTTTGTTTGGAAATGTTAAGTCGACTTAATAAGTATTTTATCAGAGGACGTATTAAAGTGTTAGCCTAAGCACGACAGAAAGCCACGTTTATTTTGAAAATAAAAAGAAGGACACAGTCCATATATAAGAAATTAACGTTTTAGTCTCCTTTAAAAAATAATACAAAAATATACATATGTGTGTATAAATCTTCTCCATACTCCATTCAAAAGCTATTGGAAACATTTCCAAATATTCAGTATTCATCATATTCAATATTAAGTAATACAATACAAAAATTAAGGGAACAAAACCATGAATTTACACATTCAAACCGCATTCATCATCTGCCATCTAGTGGCTCATAAAAGCTACTTCACCTGCGCATTTTAAAAAACGTACAGTTTGAATGAAAAAACCCTAAACCAGTAATCCAGATGAACAAAATGTAGATCCGACAATAATGAAAGGGGAAAGTTTCTTTCAGTGTCCCGGTGAAATTAGCTGTGAGGACCTTTGCTGGCATTAGTTTGTGAGATCCGTGACTTGTTCAGTGTCTATATCTCCGTTTGCCTTCGTCGTATCTGCTGGCAGGACTCGGGGTCCGCGGGTCTTGAAAGGAAGAAGCTGCCTTCAGGCTGACCGCCGCTGCGCTCATGGACGGCCGAGGTGAAGGCTGTTTGTTGGGGGTGTTTGCATAGATGGGCTCTTCTGGTGGACGAAAGGCAAATACAGAATCAATGGCATATCATTTAATTAATGTATATCTGCATTTGAGCTGTAGGACAATCTGTAGAACAAAAGCTCAGAGGGATTTTTTATTTTTTTTTGCTTATCATTTGGCTGATTAGACTTTAACGTAGTAATCAAACATCACTGAGACCAAAATGCAGGAAAAAAAAATACAGTTTTACCCTAAAAATGTCCTTATTTAGTTTTATTAGTTGAATTAGCTAATTTTGATTATTGTGCAGTTGACTAATTGTTACACACTGCAAAAGAAGCTATTTAGATCCCCAACCACAATGAAAACAGTGATGAAATACAGTGTAAACACATAACACTATTTATTTACGTCTTTATTTCCTTTTTTCCAGATTTGTATATTTGTAGATTTATATATATATATATATATATATATATATATATATATATATATATATATATATATATATATATATATATAATTCTTTTTTTCATATGTATGCAGTGCTGCAGAAACTGTGCACCCCACCCCTCCTTTCTTCTCAAATATGTTTGCACTGAGTAGGAGATGCTCTGTATGTCATTGTACATCTGTATAGTGACAATAAAGGAATTCTGTTCTAGTCTATTCAGTGATGAAATACAGTGATCTACAATAAAGACTGATTTCTGTGCAAGTAACTAAATAACATGACCTTATTTTTCATATGTAGTATGTCAGCATCAATTATCTGATCATTTGATTTTTAGAGAAAGACTGCAAGTCACGTCAGATGTTGTCCGTCCAAATCTTTATATATTTGAATATACATAGTATTAAGAGTCAATATACATCTTGTTACTACAAATGCTTTACATATTTTATTATCAACTTAATACTAAAGTGGTTTTGCAATTTAAAAATTGATCAGGAGATGTAAACTTGAAAGTTTCCTAACAAAAGAAAAAAAATAGTTTAAGATGGGAATTATTCAAATGTCAAATATTTATTTTTAATTGTAATTCATTTCTATTTTAACAGAATATCCTTTCTGCCCCGAAAACTGTACATTTGGAACCACGTGTAAGTTTTTCTCACGCTTTTCAAAAAAAAAATGCTGTCACTGTAAATTTAATCTTGACATTTTTTACTGAAAGGCAAAACATTTTGCAGTGCAAACATTCATTTGTACTGCAAAAACACAAGTGTTGACTCAGTGAAATCACTTGACTATGATTCAAAAGTAAAAAGATTCATCAAATTAATACATCAAAGCCTTTCAAGTTAAAGTTCACTTACAGTCAAGATAGTTAAATGTCAAAGAAACAGAGTCAGTACCAAAGTCCCCTGGAATTTCTGTATTTAATTTCTCACTGCGACACAGATGTGCTAGTCATAACTATAAAATAACTAAGATTATACATTTTTAGGTTTTGTTTTATTTATTTTTATATTTATTTTTACTTTTGTGTTTTCAGTTCAGTTTAGTTTCAAAAGTCAGTTTGGTTGTTAGTTTTTGTTGTTTTAAAATTTCAACTTTCATCTCATTTTTATTCATTTCAACATTAATATTAGCTCTTATTGTTATGTTGCAGGTGCTGTTTGACATATTAAAAGATTGAAGTTCAGAATGGTACAGCGATACCCGAGGGGTGCCCGAGTCTCAATAGGCATAAGCACTCGCGTCCCCTTGTGCTGGTTATATTGACAAATGTGGCCAAACTTACAAAATACTTAACTAAAATTAATTTCCTTTATATTTTTATTGTATATGATATCGTTTCAATACCTTTTTCTAAAGCAGAGGTTTGCTTTTTATTGCCGGTAACTCTCTTTTTTCCCTCATTCTCCTCAGTAGTATACTTTAATACATTTTCTCAGTAACACAATACTCCAAACAACAATTTGTGTCAATCAGAAACCACCTTGCCTGGGTCATACGTGTGATTTTACAGCTGTTTGGCAGTACTTTCAAAGCTTCACTCTACATCTGTTTTTTCTCCTTCCTCTGTGGCCATCAATGGTGGCCAAACAACCACATGTACTTGCACAAGCTGCTGGTTGCCTACATAAAGAACTGCTTTGTCCTCCGTGGTTTAAAGTTAGTTTAAAAAATGTGTCAATGACTTAAATCTGTGAGCTAAATACAATCTTATGATGACGAGTGGGACTGAAGTCAGAAGTTTTAAACTTAATTTTTTGTCAGTTAATGGACAGAAAAAATGAGTTTTGGAAAAAACATAGTTTTCCAATCATAATAATACCAGTTTTATAGTCAAACCACTTGTAAGGGCTTCAATAATCATGAAACAGCTCAGTTTATTTTGCCTGTCAAATATGGACACTACAGAAATCTATCTGTAAGTAGTAAAAGTGCTGGTTGATGCAGATGTGGATGGGCTTTTTCAGCTTTGCCTGTGTTTTATTTCTGCAGATATCTGATATTAATAACAGTGCTGATCACTTGTCTACAACCAGATCTCAAAGTGTTTACCTCGAGCTCTGCTTCACAAAATAAACTGCGGTCCTTGTCTCTGATGTCTGCTAGAAATTAAAATCTTTTTCTTAAGTGAAACCGCACAGGAGGAGAAGACATCTATTAGTGACAGCAGAGTTTGTCTCACGGTGTGCTGTCAAACCACACTAACCACTTTCTTGCTTAGTTTGTGTCCATCAGCCACTACTTGGGAAGGTTTCTGCAATCATAAAAACGTCTTCTCTCATATAAAAAAATGAGAGGTTTTCTTCTTTTAAATGCAAATATTTGCAACGAAATGAATCAGCCTGTACTGTATGCAGTGTAGATTTGAAGTGACTGTAGATCTTGTGAAGTTATCTTGTGTGATAATTTGCTTTTTTGTTGCTTGACCTCTTTTTCTTATAGAGCAACTTTTATCTCAGGCTAGCAGCTTCTGTTGCATACAGCTGAAGCACAGCTTATCTGCAATCTGTATAGACTGTCGATGATTATCTAAACCTTCACAATGAAAAGAAATAGCACTACCTCTATTCTCTTGTCTTCTTGAGAGTAGGACACATGTGACCGTCAGGATGAACAGGATGAAAGAGGATGCTCCCAACACCACCCATATCCACCAGTTGTCACTCAGGGCAGGAGGGTCTGCGGGAGGAAAAGTTTGCCCTGAAATGTGAACGCATTTAACTTACAAGTAACTCTCAAGTTACACCATGGATACAATAAAATGAATTGCTGCGTTATGTGATCACTTTAAAAGATATGTAGTCGTTAAGTCAGCCCTTTTTATGTAAAGGTCCACGCACTTCCTGTGAGCAGTACGCATCTGACAGGACGAATGTGAGCACTTTGAAACAGTTTTGACCCATCAGCTAGAGCTTTTATCCCCTGTGTAAGTGGACAAATGACACCCACGCAGAGCGACACTGAATGGAAAATCTACGCAGCTCAGTATCTCCTGGGTCCTGAAAATGTCCTATGCCTTTTGAGAACTGCATACACGCGCTCTCTCTCACATGCACACGCACATACATGCACACACCTTTAATATTCGTCACATTTGACGGGTACGTTGTAACTTCACTGTCCGCTGTCGTGGAGGAAACAAAATTATATGAGAAACATTCATTGCAAGCCAGGACATTTAAATTAGTTATGCATTCATTCACGACAAAAAAGCAGGTGTTAAGGTGTTTGTAAGCGGCATATAAACATGTAATGGTTTATAACACATTAATGTTAAAGGTGAGTTGAAGTGGATGCTGTTGTATTTATTAACATAAAAATGATGTATCCATACTAACAGAGGAAGTTGTTGACAAATATAGATTACCTGATAAAAAGTAAAGTGCTTTTTATCTGTGTACTACTGTACTGCTACATTTTAGTGTATTATACAGCATTTATTAAATGTTTGTATACTGCTCAAAAAAGTTATGCAAGAGACTTAAAGTAAAAAATTAACAGTTTTAAAAGCTAGAAGTGATACTTACAAACATTTACTTCTGTTCCACTGCTGCGGATTTCTGTTAAACTGGGAATCTCTGTTGTGACTTTGCAAAAGTACCATCCACTGTGGTTTGTATTAACATTTGACAAAATGCATTTTGAATCTTCATTTTCAGTCTTGTTTGCAGGTTTGTTAATGATTTTGTGACATATTGACTCGTTGGAAGAAGATTCAGATTTCTCAGATTTGTTGGAATACCAGAAGATTCGATATCGCTCATATTTCTCAGTGTCCAAAAAGCAGTACAAAGCCAGGTCTGATCCAGATGGAACTCTCACTGTTCTTGTTTCATTCAGAAATACAGCAGTTTGACCTGATATCACCATGGCTGTTGCTGCCACTGTAAATAGAAAAAAGAAGATATTTTACTTTTTGAATTACAAAATAGTTCATGTAGACAAAAACTACAGACAGGAAGACGAGTTTCATTCTTCAGGAAATGTGCACATGTTGCATTTAGCATGACACTGTGTCTTTTTTTAATCTGTTAAATATAAAATTGGGAGTCTTACCTGTAAGTAGCATCAGAATCAACTGCTTCAGCGACATTTCCATCTTATCTTGTGAGCAGTGGTCTTCTAATCGTCAGTGTCATCCTGTCTTAGCAGCCTGCCTTTCTGCACATCTGACAAAGCCAGACGTAGAACTGGTGTGTGGGCGGTTGGGTTGGTGGGAGGGAGGAGTAGGGGTTTTTTCCTTTTTTTCTAATACTGCTCAGTGTCAGTCAGTTACTTTTACTATTGGAGATTTAGGCAGACACGGCAAATGAAGATGGAAACTGATGTAGGCTTTCTAAAGAAAGACAGAATTATTGACCAGACACACCAACTCATTTTTTATACCTAACAGTTTTAGTCACTAGAAATCAAACCTGACTACTACTCTTAGGCCTTTCTATAAAAAAAAATATATATATATATATATACCCTGCATTGCTCTGCACCTTGTGAATTCCTCAGTGATATAAATGTACATTTGCTGACTTTCTTGCTGTCACCAAATATAAAAAACATGAGGATGATGTGAAGGGGTTGTGAAACCCCTGTGGGTTTTAAGTGCAAGGGTGCTAAAACTCTACTCGCCTCGTCTCCACACCGTCTTACTAGAAAAGTAACATCTGGCTTCCTGTGACAAGACACAACTAAGCAAAATGGCTTGATGAACTTTCTGATCCAGTCTACAACCACAATCTTGACAAAAAGAAAGAGATTCAACTCATATATATTACATATATAAATTTTCTTGCATTGTTGTTTTATAAAGTGAACACAACAAAAGGCTTAAAGAACACAACAGTGTGGGTGGCATTTTGCATTCAGGTGTTTAAAGTGTAAAGCCGCGCTGCATTGATTTGCTCTGAAAACTAATCTTTAATTCACTAACATTATAGCAGGTGTCAGTGTATTATTTGTTCCTGACAGTGAAAGAAAGAAAAAAGGCCACAAGACGAGACATCTGAAGGTTGCAGGGGGTGTATAGCTTCTGAAACCTCAACCCTATGATCTTTTTTTTGTCTCTGAAAGTAGGTCCTGTTTGTAATGCAAGAAAAGAAAGAATCTTAAAATCATTTATTTAGTAGGACTCTGTGAACACAATACACTTCATCTTTTATGCTGTTATATATGAAATGATAATAAAATTCGGACCATTTTCTAATTACTGGTGTGGTTTTTCATAAGAAACGCATGTCGATGCATAAAAGCAAAAGAAAAAGACAAAAATTACTGTAAAAAATGTTGCGCTTTGAAACAGCTGCGGGGTTGTTGTTTTTTTAATCAAACATAATGCAAAATTTACTTAGTATACTGATCAGAATCAAGAAATGTTACCAACATTTAGGTTTTAGGGGAGCGATACTTAAAAGGGTTTTTTTTTCTTTCTATTTAGAGAACCAGTGCAGCTAAGTCAGAGTGGGTCTTTTGTTTGCTGCTGAGCAGACAGGAAGCTGCATCTCTTAAGTTAGGAGTCTCTGTTGGTTATTTTAATTCCTTTGTTTTGAGTTACACTTATTGGCCAATGGTCGTTTCATTGTTGTTTTCCTTCATCAAAAGTATGCAAGTTTGCGGTCACTGTGATGTGACCCATTCTGAGGACATAGAAATAGAAAAGAGAGTTGTCCAAACGTGTCCAAACTAAAATTGTGAGTACAAAGGTCACGTATGCTTTTATACTTTGTTTAAAAATCACGTTGTCATCACTTTTAACAGTTTTAAAGGTTATGAATGGTCTCCGTGACACAATACACATGCACAACACATAGTTATTTTCTTTATTTTTCTCATAAGGCAAGAGGCCAAGAGAGAGGAAGAGTTGTGGTAGGCCCTGGTCAAATAGACATACTCAAATACGTGCTCACATTTACACTTCTGGGCAATTTATAATCACTAGCTGACCTAACATGCATGTGTTTGAGAGGACGGTGGGGGAGCGAGAAAGTCAAAGCACCTGTAAGAACAAATGCAGACACAAAGAGAAAATGCAAACTTACATGAGCCGACAGTTAAATTCAAAGTCGGTGCTTTCTTACTGTGAGCTGATAGTGTTATCCACACAGCACTTTTAACAGAGGGGAGCCCAGTGGTGTGGAGGGTGGCATCTTGCATCTCTCATATCAAATTTTCAGTCTGAATTTAAATGAATAGAAAAAAGGCCAACATCAAGCTCTGATATGAAGTAGTGACATATATGATACAGTTACATCAAAACAAGCACAATACTTGAGTAAAAGTTTTATTTATTTCCATATTTCTAACCACACCTTAATGGGCAGATTATTCATTCATTTAATCTTTATTTCAGTTGCAAAACACCATCCAACAAAGAGAGGATACCAGTGTCTCTAGAATTAATACTGGTAATGTCTAGTGTTAAACATCATTTGCATTTAGCCCGTAGTGATTTCATATTAAGCCTGCAAATATACTTACACCCAGTAGTTTTAAATATGCTGGCTCCAGTAGTTACAAACATCTTACATGCACTGAGCCATCGTCACCCTCATGACGTCATTGAAAGCTACATTTAGTTTCGGTAAACTCATTTTCCTGTGCACATATATGCTAGAGCTGTACAATATGCACAAACTAAAGGAAAGAAAAGCACCTTGCTCTACATAATGATCTAAATGAAGACCCTCCCTCCGTCTGTGCATGCATTAAATATGCTGGTATATACATTATCGCACGTTGCCTACAAATATCATCATCACGTGTTTTTGTTGTTGTTTTTATTTTTTGCTCTGTCCAAGACATCTGACCCTATTACATACACAGTAACGTTATTGTATGACAATATGAAGTCTATAAAATCTTAAATGTTTGTTTTCCTTGGTTCTATAAATAATAACATCGCTCGTACAGACACTGTATATGATTTTTTTTTTTTTAAATCCACAACATATGTGAAGAAGCTAATAGAGACCAGCACTACCACGGCTAGAGACCACAAGATCATCCAAATTCATAATATGGTTCACCATACTATTACCAACCATGCGCTCAGTTTTACATCTCAGATTAGAGATGCTGAATAAATAAATCAGTATTTAGGGAGATATAGGCTCCAGCACTGCTGTGGCGACTTATCTGGTAATATAGATGTAGATTTCAGGTGGAGCCTTCTCCTGCATTATTTAGAAGACATTCATTTGTGTCCTCTACAAAGAAAAAAGAAAGAAGGAAGCAGACACAGAGTTTTGTCTTTTTAGTAGCTAAAGTAGATACAGAGATTTTATAAATAACAGGAAAACCTAAAACCATATCCAAGAAGATTTTTATTGGGACCCTAAATGGCTCTGTATTGTGTTATATAGGCTATTTAAAATCTATCTATCTATCTATCTATCTATCTATCTATCTATCTATCTATCTATCTATCTATCTATCTATCTATCTATCTATCTATCTATCTATCTATCTATCTATCTATCTATCTATCTATCTATCTATCTATCGCGTTGTCCTTTCTCTGACTGCACCTGAAAGCAGCATCCCTCACCCGCGCCACCAGAACATCACTACCCAGAATCCCCCCGTGCCGCATGCGCCCCGCTTACTACGGCCCAAAGGCGTTGGTGGTTGGTGTCCGTCCGAAGATGCGTTGCTCTCCGGCAGCATCAGTACCAGCTCCGCCGTGCTAATACACCAAACACCGGGGGACGGAGGAGACATACCGGCGGTGTGTGGAGCTGCGACCGCGCCGGTGCACCTGACTGCAAGATGGGAGACCAGAAGGTGAGCCGGAGCCGGGGGAACAGGTGTCTCTGATGGGGGAAGCCGTTTCAGGGCGTAGTGTACAAAGGAAGGAGGGGGAGACGCGGCGATATGAGGGAGTTTGTGGATGCAGCATGGGCTTGAATTCCTCAGTCGTCTTGTTTTTGTACTCGGTGTTTGTTCGGGTGGATGTGGGGTCGTTTCTGTGCTCGCTATCGACCGCTTTCTTATCGACAAGTATCGGTGTAGCAGTCGGGGACGTGGGGAAGGGGGCCTTGGCGTAGCTCCTCTTCCATCAACAAACATTGCACAGTTCTTCTGTATGAATGGGCTTTTTCACTGTGGCGTCGGAGCAGTGCAGCAGGAGTGGCAGCAAATCAAAAGTGTGGGTTTTTCTGTGTAATATTGTGTGTCCGGTCTTTGAAGTCGCCTGCGTAACGATTGCGGAGCTGCATTATTAAATTATAAATGCGCATCCTTCCGCCCTCCCTGTGCACCGAGGGTAGGTCCCTCTCTGATCTCATCTGTTTAAAAGGGAGCTCAAAGCCTAAAGCGTTATGTGTCCACTCATCAGACAAGGGCTGATTAACACATCTTATCCACAGAGGAGGCTCTCCTGTGCGCTAATACAGGGATCCTGAGCCTGCCTGGAAGGGTCAGATTGTGTGTGAGTTCAAAGCAGAAATGTTAAGAAAAATCTGAATTGACTAAAGGAAAATTTTGTCTTTTTCTTCAGGAATCTCTGCGGAAGATCACCCACACACTGGCCATGAAGAATGAGGAGATTTCCAACTTCATCTGCACTCTCAAGCAGAGTCTGGACAACTTGGAGGTACAGTAACGCGAAGGGCTCAAGTTAAATTTGATCTCAAATGATACCCTGAACTTTTTTTTTCTGCTGCGACACCAGGCAAATTCCAACCGGGTGCAGGAGGACCTGGAGTCTGAATGTAGCTCCCTCCATGCTGTTCTGGACGAAATGAAAGAAAATATGCTGACCCGTATCAAACAGGAGCGAGCAAGCCGTACCTATGAGCTGCAGGTAGCCGTTATTGTTTCTTGATTTGAAAAGTCTAGATCTTTTTAATCGGGGGGGCATCATTGCATGGCTTAGACTTATTACCTGTCTGCATACGAAAGCAGGTGTTGCATCAGTGCTTGTGGGGACGTTGTTTCATTCTTTGTTGTTGTACATCCCATGCTCATCTCTTGATCACTGATTGAGTAAGGCGGTTCACAGGATAAAACCGGAGCCTCCTGACCTTTAAGTCAGACTAAAATTTAAACTTTTCTAAGTGAACAGCAAGCAGAATGCAACGTACTTTAACACGATCTGTTAAAAAATACTGTAACTGTACAGAATACAAACCACAAAATTACAGATAACAGGTTTAAGTGGAGCATCATCGTGTTTGTCTTAACGTTTATGTTTTTTAATGCCACTGTAATTTATAATATTGGTGAGAAGCGTTTATCCTTCAAGCTGAATTCTAAAATGCTTCACATGTTCGGTTGTACTTCTCTTGAAAGTGTGTTGACTTTATGTGTCATTTGTTGGTTTGGAAATGCCTCTGAGGCATTAGGAAGACAGTAACAATAGCTAGTAATATGTTTTGAAGTGCGTTGCCAAGCTTAGAAAGATTTATAGGGGACTATGGAGCAAGACAAATAATATTGCCACTTCCTTTAAACTGCTACCATCTGTACGGTGCTGTTGTTCCCCTTTGTTTGGAAAAAAAAAAAGGTCCAAACTGTCATTTATTCCTCGAACCATGAACCTCCTGAACATGAATGGTTTGGCCAAAATCGCCCCAAAGATGCAAGGAGACTGAAAGTGTCCGTATATGATTGTTTTTAAGTGGTGTGTACAGAATCAGGTGACTTCTGCTCCAATCAGCTTTCAATGATTTCCACCATAGCAACACTGTTTTTTACTTTTTTTCCTTTACATTGCTTTAGCTTGTTAAAGTGCTTTAAAAAATGAAGTAAGAAAGAAGACCATAGAGAGAGAGAGAGAGAGAGAAGAGAAATATACGCTATATGCCTCAAAACTACTGAGCCATCTCCACATTACACCTGCAGGAGCTGTTCAAGCATGGAAACCCATGCAGTGAAGCTCCCGGCACACAGTGTTTGTGCTGGTGTTAATGCCAGAGGAAGTTTGGAACTCTGCAGTTACTGAATCAGCAGAGCGTCGGCGAGTTTTATGCACTCGGCGACCCCGCTCTGTAACTTTATGTCATCGATATAATTCATGGCTGAGCTAGCATGGTTCCTAAACACTTCCATGTTGCAACAAGCCTCTTACAAGAGATCTCAACAGAGGCATCCTATTACAGCACCATCGAATTCAGTGAGCCATGCAGTCTGTAAAGGCCGATTGCATGCTTGATTTTCATACACCTGAATTCAAAGATTACGAGGCGTGGTCCGATACTTTTGTTCATATTGTGTAACAATAAACAAGGTAAGGCCAGGAACTTGCAGCTGTGGAGCCAGAGGTACCTGCTGCAGAGAGGAGGTGAAAATGACTCATCTCAAGTTTGCATTTTTTGCTTTTTTTTACTCTCTTTCTTTGCAACATTTATTCCAAACTAGCTGCATGAATGAAAGCTGATCTTTGTTTTCATTCATCTCAGGTCAAAATACCAATAATTCAAAAACGTCTGTAGCCTCAGGACTGAGCGATGACTCTCAAATGATGCAGCTAGCTCCATGGCTTCTGCTGGCAACACAATCAACTTATTATACAGACGAATAACCTGTGGGAGTTTACAGATGCGCTCCATTTGACTGTAAGTTGGTCTTTTCTCAGAGTCAGCTGAGCGCCTGCTCCAAAGCCCTGGAGAGTTCAGAGGAGCTTCTGGAGATGGCCAATCAGACGCTCTGCTCCTCTGAGACGGACGGTTTTACTCAGGTAACTGACAGTCATGCTGCTGCGCCGTTTGATGTGAATTTCAGTGTCCACATACGATTTAATCTGTCCTCCTTGTGCTGTCATACTAGCAGTGATTTTAACATGGCCACCGGCAGCTTTTTGTGTTGAATGACAACATGATGGGCTCCTACTCAGTTCTCTCTTCGCTCCGTGTCTCTCCTCTTTTTTTCCTTTCCCTCTCTGTGCTTCTCCTCTGCAGGCGGCCAAAGACATTAAGGATAGGTATAGTACTCAGCAATCCATTACTTTCCTTTTGTCATAGCCTCCTGTAACCAGCGAGCCATCTAATGAATGTAGCGTGCATGCATTCAAACCTGTAGCCACCGCACCCATTTCATAGACAGTAAGCACGATGGAAGCTTTCCACTCTTTTGTCTCTGAGTTTCCCCACTCTCATCTCGAGTCTGTGCCATCCTGTGTCAGCCCCTCCCTGGATGAATGCTGCTCCCTCTCTAGCTCCGCTTTTTGAATTAGGGTGATGAGTTCAGCGCTAGTATGTCAGAAATGTAGTTAGTGGTCTTTTCTTAGTGAGCAGTACTAGAATCACCTGTTTCTTCTTTGTCGCCCTCTGGTTCAGTTCAATAATAGACCCGCACTTGTTTCCACCCCACGTCTTTGTGTGTTTTTTGTGTGTCTTTCTCCACAGCGTCACAATGGCTCCAGCCTTTCGCCTCTCCCTGAAGGCTAAAGCCAGTGACAACATGAGTCACTTGATGGTGGATTTCAGCCAGGAGAGGGAGATGTTGCAAGGACTCAAATTTCTCCCAGGTCTGAAACGAAGGAGTTGCTGACTTGCACAACATTAAAGCAGCACTCTGCTTCTCTACTTCTGTTTAATTTTACACACCCGGTTGATTGTTTAAAGCTTCTGTTTAAAAGGGATAACCAATGATAAGAAAGTTACACATGCACACTTAGTTACATCTATACTCGACTCTTGTAATGCACTGCATAGATTAGTAGGTCAGTTACTTGTTGATTATTTACAGGTAGTGTGCACTACAGAATCCAATATAAAGGAAAACTGTTTGTGTTTAAAGCCTTAAATGGTCTTGCACCTGGATATGTGGTAGATAGTCTGCCTCCATACACTCAATATCATTAAAGTGTGCCACTCCTGATCATTCCTCTGATTGATGCTTTCTGAAAAGGGGGATGTTTGCCTCGGCTGTTTTTGCAATCGGATGAGCATCGCCTGTGACGGTTGTTAAATCTAAACTGAAAATGTACCTCTTCTTTTTTTTTTTTTTTTGTCAGGCTTTTGGAAATAGTTCATCTCTGGAGGATAGGTTCCTGCTGTAAATGTTGTGTAGCTTCAATATTCAGGAACATGTTTAATTTATTTAGTTTTAGTGGTTTTTAATGTGTTTATATAAATAAAGTTAAAGAGAGAAGGGCTGAAGGTCAGATAAAATTAGGGGCTGCAGTACAGCTGAGCATAAGATTAGTAAGGATTATTTTGAACTCTACAAGAGTAGCTTAGCATGATTCAGAGTCCAAGAATTTAAATATGGAGCTGAAATTGAGGTTCTCCTTAACAGCTCTAGTTACTAATAATTACTTTGAGTAATTATTAATTACAGCTGTAGTATTTTACTATAATTAGTAACTAATTACTTTACAGTTTTTGTCTGAAAAATTACTTTTTTTGGTATAAAATCTGCATCTAGTCATGTCATTGTCGGCTCTTGTCGAGTGCCAACCAATTTAATGGGTTTCAGTTGTTTCTCTGATCAGCAGAGCTGCACGTGAGGGCACAACTGTCTCAATCGCATCGGAAGTTAAACAACCTGTAACCTGCCTGCTCCCTCGTACAAAGTCCAGGTAGTTTTTCACTAGGTCATATAGTAGAGCAGATAAAATATGAGGAGAGTTTACAGCAGCTAGGCGGGATGTGCGTCTGTTCAGGCAGCGGGATCTCCTAAACTAAACAGTGTTTTTGAAGCAGGCTGCGTGATCCGGTGTGCTGCATGTGGGAAAAGGGGGGAAATCTGGTTAACGTTCCCACCTGAGTTCATGTGTGAAAACTCTTTTAAGATTTGAGCTTTTGTATTGTTACACCTTGAACTGCTACACAGTACATGTAGTCTAACTTCACCTCAATGAATTTCAAAAGTAAGACGATGCAATCTAGATAAAACAACCCGAAATGAGTCACTGCACATTACACTTAATTTCACAACACAATGAAGTTAAGAGTTCAAAAAAATACTTAAGAGATTCTGGTCAGGCTGTGTTTGGTAGATAAAGTATAAGCTGCCACCCTGGAGGTGTTGTTAAGCGCAGTGTAGGCATTTTTGTGTTTTTTCAACCAGAACAAAAGAAAGGGTCGATGCTTGCTGTGTGTTAAACTTCCTGCAGTATGTTCCACTTACCAGCATTTTTTTATATTAATGAGTCAAATGAATACATGTGATGTGACGGGGAGTTACATACGGCAATAAAACCACAGAGAAGTATCACTCCACAGCTGTGCGAGACCTCCTAACCTCGTTATTGCACCGTTGCGGTTTGACAGCCTACATATGTAGTGTGGGTCTCAATCTGATCTGAATCGCCTGCTTTTAGCTGTAAAGCTAAGACACACTGCTGGTTAAACAGGATACAGTAAATGGAAAAGGTGAAAGTTTATCAGATGAATGTGAGTGAAGAGTTGGGCACAGAGAAGGGCGACTTTTTTTTTATCAAGTGCATGTAAAAAAAAATAAAAATAAAATAAATATTTATATTTTGCCACAAGGTCATGTCAGACTTCTTTTAGGAAAATACTGCCCCCTTGTGGTATTAAATGCAGCTTTAATATCGAACTGTTACACTTCTTGACTATTTTAGTAAAGAGTAGTGAAAGTTGATGTTGGACACAATCTGTAACAGGTAAAAACTCTTTTTGTCTTCAGTTCCTGCTACTCCTGAGATCCAGGTGTCAGAGTGCCAGGTGTGCGACAATACGGTGACTGTAGTTTGGAGTTTACCAGAGCCTGATAGCAAGATAGACCACTACATACTAGAACACCGGCGCACAAATCACGAGGGTCCACCTCGCATCCGAGAGGACTACCCCTGGATGGTGGTGGAGGGGATACGAGAGATGGAGCACACTCTCACGGGTAGGAAGAGGACTGTGAGGTGATGTTTGGCATTTATAGTTAAACTTTGAGTAGATTTTCTAACCTAGAAAACTTCCCTAATTCCAAGGTCTGCGCTTTGACACCCGGTACTTGACGTTCAGAGTGAGAGCGTGTAACAAGGCTGTGGCGGGAGAGTTCTCTGAGCCGGTTACACTAGAAACCCACGGTGAGAATACTTGGATCTGGCTGCTGTTATTTTACTATGACTGACAAAAGATGTGGGGCTTTTCAGTTTCCTGTACACTAAAAGAAAAACGTTGCTTCTTTCCCAATATCCAGCTTTCACTTTCAAGCTGGATGCTGCTTCAGCTCATCAGAACCTGAAGGTGGAGGACTTGAGCGTTGAGTGGGACAGCAGCGGAGGAAAAATACAGGACATCCGAAAAGACAAGAACCGAACCAACTCACCAATGCACTCCCCAGCCAGGTTTGTAAGCTGCTGATTTCATGTGCTAACTCTCATTATGAATAAAGCTCAGAAATATTGAATCTTTCTAGCTCGTGTCTTTTCTGTAATCAGGTCAGCCCTGATGTCTCCTAAGAGAGCACCGACCGCCCGGCCCGGCAGAGACAGGTTTACAGCAGAGTCGTACACAGTGCTGGGTAAGAATACGTGCAGCAAAAAAAGAGGGAAGGACAGACACAAACTTGTTTTTGCATTACCAAACCGCCCCAGATTGTAGATTGTAAGATACAATGTTAGAAAGTTACACAATAAAGTAATCTGATCTTCCTTACCGCCCAAGGTGAACTAATTAGTTGGTGTAATGAAGGCTTTACACGAGAAGAAATGATCCAGATTTAAACCAAAGGGTTTTTTTGTTGTTTCTTTTAATTACTGCACTTTTTACATCTTTGGATATTTTAAACAGAAATCATTTCCACATAACTAACTTTTCAAATCAGATTTCCATCTCTTAGCAAGGCAGTTGTTACATAACCACAGCTGTCAGCATGCGTAAAGACAGTGGCGATTGTTTTGACGCTGGCCTTATGTGTCGTGACAGCTGACACTGTGATTGATGCTGGCCAGCAGTACTGGGAGGTGCGTTTCGACAAGGAGAGCAAGGCCTTTGCCGTGGGCGTAGCCCTGCGGAGCCTCGGCCGATTCGACCAGTTGGGGAAAAGCAGCGCTTCCTGGTGCATCCACCTGAACAACTGGTTGCAGCAGAGCCTCACAGCCAAGCACAACAACAAGGCTCGAACCCTCGACTGTCCCATCCCAAATAGCATCGGAGTCTACATCAACTACGATGAAGGTAGGATCCAAACAGATCAATGGGTGAACTCAAAGATTTAGTTTGCCTCAGCCACAATTTGGTAACTGGAACAAAATGAAATAAAAGAAAAAGACTGTTTAGCGTTATTTGTGGATTAAAGTGAAGCAAGAATAAGGCTACTTTAACTTCCACACATTTTAAAAAGAAAATCTTTATAAAATAAACCGTTAAGTATGTTTGCCTTTGTGTTTCTCTCCAGGTATTCTGTCTTTTTACAACGCCAAAACTAAGCAGCTGATGCACACTTTTAAAACTAAGTTTCAGCAGCCAGTTATCCCAGCGTTCATGGTGAGGAAATTCAAGCCTATTTTTGTCTGAAAACTTTGCACCACCTGCTGATTTATTTATTTATTTTAATAAACTGCCTGTCATGTGCTGCCCCCTGCAGGTGTGGAACGGGAGTTTCTCTGTAGTGACGGGCCTGCAGGTTCCTAGCGTGGTGCAGAGCGGCCAGAGGAAGAACAGCGGCACCAGCAGCTCCAACGCCAGTCTCAACTAGACACATCCATCCACCTAGCCAAGTGGACTCCTCCCACCTCCACCCAGCCTTGGTCAGCGCCGCAGATCATCTCCTCTGCCCTGACGGCGGTCGAAGCCATATCGCAGAAGAGTTAAATCACTGGAGTATGACAGTTTATCCTGTTCCACGTGCAGTGTCTGTGTTGCATAGAGACGAACTTTAGGTGGGAAGAGGTGGGTCTGCTGCTCCCTCAGTGACAGAACTCTTCAGATGTATGACTCTGGCTGTTGTGAATGCTGGGGATACAGTAGGTGTAGGCTTGCTAGGTTTCCTGTCTCTGCACATCCATTTAGCACCACTGCTGCTAGAGCACTGATTTAGCGCTGGCCGCTGTCCATCCTTCTGTCAGCCGAACTGTTGTGCAGCCAGCTGCCGGTTCAGGGTTACGCTCTGTCCTGTCTGCTCTCTCTCCCTGTGCCTTCCTGCTCATTTCCAAAAAGATGAAATCGGGTACACTAATAAGCTTTCTGTTCCAATTTAAAACTATGTCAGAAAAATTTGGATTAGCGGTTATTACCTATCCAGCCAGCAACCAACATACGGTCTATAACCCAAATAACAACCTGCACCTACACCTGAATCGCTGCCAGCAGCTTTTAGATACAAGAAATTAACATATTTAGGATGCTGAATTTGTTTTGTTGCCAAGGCATGTGCATTTAACAGTGTCTATTGTATTTCATATAATAGCCAGGACCCACACTTTGGGCTCTTTTGGCTCCTGCTGAGGTTTTGTTAGTTTAAAATCAGAGATGGTGTTATCTGTGGAGGAGTCTGTCGTACAGACTAAAAGTCAGAGGCAACTTCCTTCATTTTAACTCCTTGTAGTGAAGTCAGAGCGCTCATGTGGCTTCAGGATTTTTGAAATGATTGTACTGTATACTCACATAACTGCACTCTAATGCTTGTCCCTGTATATGCACCATTTCTTTTGCAGCAAAGAGTTCCCATTATGAGTAGTGGACTGCGTTTAGTCCTAAATATAACAAATAGCTAGGCAGTAGCTGGAGCTAATAAATCATATAATACAGATTAGCCATTTATGGAGCCACCCAGGCGAGAAACTAAAACGATAAACCCTGAAAACTTAGTCTGAAGTCTGTTTTTGTGCACCGCCTGACCTCTGAGAAGCATCCACCTCATGCTGTATGTAACACACGGTAACAGTGTTGCTTTGCCACATTTCTCCCTCTACGTGCGTTCTGAGCAATGTAGCCTGCGATGCTTTAAAGAAGCGAGAGTTCTGTTGACTTTGTTTCACATGCTGACAGATGTCAGAGTTTATTGTAAATAGTTTAATTTTTTCCACTATAATGTATCAGTCATTGAGGTAATAAAGGAGTGAGAGCACTGTGTTTGTCCGTGGATGTCTGTCTCAAAACAGAAATCAACAAAGGAGGACAAAAAGGTTTGGCTGTATGAATAATACATAAAGCGGAAATAGACCTGGCACAGACAGTCATAAAACCTATCCTGTTGCTGCATGGCACCTACTAGAATTTGCTTGATCACATGACCTGATGCGAAAGAGCAAGTTTTACTTCAGTAAAAAAAATAAAAAATAAAAATTTTATACGATACATTTACAGAAACCAAAAGTTCGTCTGGCAGTTCTGTTTTTCTTCATAGGGCTGCATCACTAAAAAGGTGGGCAGTAATACACTACAGTTCAAATATGAACATCCTGCCTGTAAGGCAGAATATAACCATTGTAGCTATGGAAATCTTAAAAAAACAAAATCTAAAAACACTGATAAATGTGATTCAATAGAACAAAGAAAAAAAGTGCCACTTTCATTGGCAAATGTGCAAAATGTACAAGAGAAAGGTATAGATAATGTGACATGTGCACTGCTCTTTACAGTTGATTAATTTGCTAACGAGTGTCCAAGAGAAGCAAAAATCAATAGCACGTTAATCCTCTGAGAGGCTTTGCTGCTTCTGTGCTGCCGACAGACCCGAGCTACACTGCGGAGCAGGGGGAGGTTATCAGCGGCCCGTTTCTGCTCCCATGTGTCGGTTCATCTTGCAGGGACGGTCTGACACAGCAGCTTTGCCATATTGTCACAGATGGAGATTGCTCTCAGGGGCTCCCGTCACGAGAGGTCACTGGCACTTGCCCTTGTTTTTTTCCAGCCGAAGTTTCAGCTCAGATATTGTTGCGCGAGCAACTAAAAGCAACATGAGAAAAAAGTAAAAATAACTATTTAGAAAAATTTAGAAAAATATTAAATGTGTTTCAGATTTCACTGAGGTAGGAAAAAGCCTTAAAGTGAACCTACGCTGATTATCAGGGTCTGTAACGGCTTTCACCTTCACATCTTGTTTTGTGGTTGAAACGGAGGAGGGAAAAAATTTGCGAGGTGCAGGAGTTGGAGGCATGAGTGGAATTTTCTGGGTTTTCCCTTCTGGTTCTGTAGTGAAGACAGACACATACAAGGGGGGAATTAACCATGCAGCGTCAAAGTGAATATTTTCCAATAGTTTCTTAAATTAGAAAGCGAGATAGAGATCGAGAGCCACTTACGTGGCAACGGATTGACTGAGGAATCTTCTGTCTCTTCTGCTTCCTCATTCCCTGTTTGAACACAGACATTGCTTAGAAACAGTAACTGGAAAAAATGAAGTCACACCTGTTTACACTTGTGAAACATAACAAAAAACTCATGATGGATGAGCTGATTGATGGCACATGTGACAATGGTGATACTCACAGTTCTCATTCAAATACAAGCACTCTTCCACTGGCAATTCCTCTGGTTCAGGAGATGGTGTTTTTCTACAGACTGGAAAATAGAAGACATGATTTTGATTATTGGAGCACCTAATAAAAAATAAAGAAAGAAAATGACCAGATTTTAAACAAACAAACAAAAAAACAGGTACTATTTCAACCAGCAACCTTGGGAAAACACAAATATGCAGACAATAAACACGGCATATTATGTTCAGGTAAATAAAGGTTAACGTAATATGTTTTAGTCACAGGAGTCTGGAATGAATTCAATATCATTTCAAACGATTGTTTACTGTGATATTTTGTGCAGATTTTCTTAAATTACAGTTTAATTAATTAAAGTTTAATGGTAATTAGCATTTAATTTCAAAGTCCAGAGCCAAAAGAAGAAACTAAAGTTAAATCTCAAGGAGGAATCTCCCAACTGCACCAAAACAAAGAGGCTTACAAAGCAGAGTAAACAGACTGATGTATGAGTTTGTGTTAATGGAAAATACCTGGTTTGGGAGGCTTGGAAGGAAGGCTTGGTGGAGGACCTTTTTGCAAGGGCTGCTGAACACTCTTTTCTCCATTTTCATTATCAGAAGAAATATAAGCTGTTAAAAAAAGTCCATAGCTTATATTAGTCATGGAATAATTATTACAGAAGAACAAATAGAGACTGGACTATATCAGGTTCTGTACATACATAATTTCTTTTCATATGGTTCTTCAATAATGAGGGGAATCAAAACTCCGTCAGTTGATGTCACTAAATAGCTGATCATATCGTGCAGAGTGTCACAGGTGACCTGCACAGAGAGAATAATCAAATACACAAAGTTAACAAGGGTGTGTGTGTGCGTGTTGACTTGGTCATTTATGGACCTGCAACGATAAAATGTCTTGCAGGAACTGCAGTGAGCACTGCTGCTGAAATTCACTTTACAGACTGAGGTGTGTCATGAGAGCACAGAAGGAAATGTATGCAACTTTCAAGCACAAACCTAGCGTTGTACCCGCAAACTAATGCAAAAAACCACACACACCAGGCTGAGTCGTGAAAACAGCAGCCAGATTAAAACAATCATCTGCTGCCATGACAATTTTATTCCCACCACAGCCTTTACTGTTAAATACCTTATTGTTTTCCAGGAGGTCATAACACTTTATCTCTATCGCCAATAAAACCATGAAAAAAAAAAGTTCTATCAAGGGCAGCAGTGTGTGTGTGTTGCACTGTTTGTCACTGCCATGTGGGTGTAAGCCACACACAGAAGATGTCATAAAGCAATAAAAAAAAAAAGGCAAAACCTGTATAGAGAATAAAAGATTCCACTTAAGTTACTCAGTTGCTCCTTTCTTTGAGGCACACATGTACAACTGAACCCAGAATTGGGCTTTGGTGTTAATACTCACTTTAGGCTCCACATCAATGATGAAGCCGCCGTCGTGTTTTCGGATCACGCGGTAGTGTTTGACTAAAGGGCTGCAAGAAAAAAAAAGAATAAACTTTAAACCTGAATAAAATACCAGCATAGTTATTGCTATCAGCCACGTTGGGACACTGTGCAAAGCGTAACGTAAAAACAGAATAAATAAATCCATATTTCAGTTCTACTGTGAATAAACAATATGATGGGTTTATGAGGTTTTCAGATCACTCCATTCTGTTTTAATTAGCATTTTACGCAGCATCACAACTTTTTGGGAATTAAGTTTGTATATTATTTGTGTTATGTATGAATGAGTGAGTACATGTTTATATCTGTGTCCGATGTGTGTGCGTACCTGTCCAAGTCCTGCCTGGTGCTGACAGCGAAGGAGCTCCCATCGCTTCCAGGTCTCAGCAGCAGGTTTCCTCTTTTGACTTCTCTGTCAAGAAGCAGCTCGGCCTCCAGGCGGGAGACATTGTGGTAACAGCTATAGGAATGACACAAATATGTCACTCATCAGCAGCTGAGCTCGGTATATAATTAAATTCTAATGGAATGCATATGCAAAGAATGTTTCTGGCATTCGAGTCAATCTTGACTTCTTTCCAAAGAAAACAAAATTCCAACATGTCTGGCTTCTTTTCTTTTTTTTTCCGAGAATGAAAATGCAGATAATTCAGTTAAATACCAGTTAACGCATTTACAGTTATAGCAACACCTCTTCGCCATAAACATAGTCAGCAATAGTGCAAAAGTCACGAGTGTCTTTGATACTGACGCTGGCATGTCTGCTTGTAGGGTGACATAAGAAGGGCAGCTGGTCTCAGCAGATGGAGGGCTGTTCTGTTTTCTCTCAGTTTCCTTTTGTACTGCCTCTTTCAGCATGTGGATCTGACCTGGCAGCAGATTCAGAGAGGTGGGCACAGCCAGCTGCAGGAATACATAATAATAATTTTAAATACTCTGTGTTACATCTACAGCTTGTTATTTTTCTATAAAGTGAGATAAAGGTTTGTACCACAGACCTCAGCCACAGCTTGGATATAGCCCTTCCAAAACTCACGAACTTCTGCATTTGGGACCTAAAGAAGTGACAGAGGAGGAGGAAAAGGTCAAAAACAGAGCATCCTCCTTTGATAGAAATCAGACCAGTTGCATGTATTCCACATATTCCCTTACGGTGAATTTGATATTTCCGCCTTTCAGTCGGAGATTGAATCTGGCTGCATCCAAGTTACGGTCCTGTCTGGTCTCATCTGTTACTGAGATAAATCCACTGAGATCCAGTTTCTCTATGTACTGATAAAACACACACAGTCAAAGAGGGTTAATCAAGAAAAGTCTGGGGGGGGGTTTGTTTGTTGTTTTTTAAAAAGAATAATTCAAATTTGTGAATTTCATTAAGTCAACTTACATCGCAGTCCTTTTTGTCATTGAAGAAAAAAAGGGTGTTTCCACAAAGGGCGGTCCACAGTTTCTGAGATGTCTGCACACAAAAGAAAAACAGCTCAAGAAAAGTGACGAATCCAGACACGTGGATAGATATTTTAAAAATAAAATCATCCATTTTCTTTTATCCATTTCATTTATTTCCTTCCAAGTAAAGAAGAAAGCAAAGTTACACAACAAAGGAAAAAACAACAACATCAACAAAAACCAGGCTGATGACATTTCTGGGAAAGACCTGATGAGTCAACTGATTCCTTTACCGCAAAGGAAACCGAGAAACCTCAACAGATACAGGTGTATGATATTAATAACTCTGCTCTACATGCTTGTACAATGCCTCCCCAGACTTGTTTTGCCTAGACTGAGAAAACCAGAGACATTTCATGTATAAGTTCATCTTATTTTGGTCTACAGACAAAGCAAAGACCCGAATGAAGCTCTCTTTTTCCATTTTCCAACACTGTGACCTGCTGGCAAATATTAAGGCTGATGGCAAAATCTCTAAGGCATTCGATGCCAAGCTCAAACAAATTGTGTTGAATTTATAAAGTGAGATAAAGGCTTGCCTTTCAGTCTCATGTGCACAGTCTTATCAGTAACACCTTGTAAGAACAGCCCTCAGGATTTATGATCTCTAAAGCTTGATGTTCTAGTTTATATCTTGTGTTAGTTCCTGGTTTTCTCAAATGATTACGACAAAAGCAATAAAGAAGTCAAACCAGTCTGACAGGCAGAAAAAAAATGTGAAA